CAATCATATTAAATCGATATCAAAGTCAATAAATAATGTACAACCCAAAACAGACGGCCGAACTGACGTGACAATGACATTTGGCGCGCTAAACATGGCGGATTTTCGGCCTCATTAGACGGAGACGGAGATATTTACGTATATTCATGTTTCATTTTATGTACGCACTGAAATACTGTTATATTGTTTTCCTGCGAGTTAAATTGCTGAGTAAGAACGAGATAGATATATGTTTATGTATGTGCCTTCAAAATGTGTGCTATTTATATAAGCAATTGTACGTATAGAACAATATGTCGTGTCCCTACTATATAGGTCTATGTTTTTTTCTTACACGGTTACCAGCTGTCAATTTTTTCTTAATTTTGAGGGCTTTTTTCTTGGACGTTGTTTTTTAAAACAATTTTCAAGATATTTGTTTTTTGCGTTACGTTTCTTCAACGTTACGTTTTTCAATATATACACATGCTTTTGTATAAATGTGATATCTCCTGGAAAATATTAACAGTTTCGATTACTTTCGATTATATTCATTCATGAATAACTTCGGCGAGGAAAGATCGATGCCTTCGTGTAATTAATATTAAATTGGTAAAATTTCGGTTGTAAGGTGTATTGTGAGTTCACGTGGATAAATAACAACATCAAGGCTGTTTATTTTGCAAATGAATATTGCACTTTATAAGATGGGGTAACCGTTTTAGAATTATGACCTAATGTTGAAGGTGGTTGCGGCATTTACGTTGTATTTTGCATTTGGTTACCCTTTATGATCCACCGTGAACTTGTCTATACACCTAGTGCAGTAACATAAAATAGTACTACACCAAAGAATACATGTATCTCTCAGATTAAACCAAGAGCGTGTCCGAAAAAAAAAGTCTTTGTTTGTAAGAAACGACGTTAGATTCTTTTATTACTTCTTTAACATAAAAAGAGTATGGCGAACAGCTAGCTGCATTTGGGCATGAGTATCGTATAACGTTTTATTCAAACAGAAGATTATTATTCTAATTAAACTACTAACTCGATTTTGAAATTTTAGCTAAGTCATAGCTAAGAACGTATTATTAAAAATAAATCAAATTTCTGCACGAAATGATTGTTATTTGTTCCTTGTTTTAATAAAATTATATTATTTTAATAGCAGGTTTATTAATGTGAGGAAAAGTTGACATTTCCTTTCGGGGAAAACAATCGAATTTCATAGGCTAGATCTAAACAGCAACCCTGCTTGCTCACTTCATTTGTATTTTGTGATTTTGTGACTTGGTCAATGAGTTAGAGACGTGACGGTAGCGTTTGTAGTGATATTCTAACAATATTAATGAATTTGCATACACAATTACAAAAAAAAATGAAAATATAAAATCTAGGATTATAATTCATAAACAAGCTTTGCAGCTTTTGTAAAAGTTAACTAAAAATTTTCACCATCACAGCCGCTTGTCCCGGGTTATTGACGTTTAGGTCTTTGATAGAAATTTACCTTCCGAAAGCTGTTTGTGTATGCTGATTGTGGGCGTGCGTGCAAGTAGGTGGTGAAAAGTAAGATAACACCATACACCGTGAAAAGTGAAATTGTGGCAAATTAGTTTGATATGTATTACAAATTGGTATTGATGTGGCAAACCGGATTGCGCCCAGTAAGAGAAAACGTGACGCTTGGTTAAGGTAAGATTAGTTATTTATTTAGATAACTTTTCACAAATAGCTTAGGAATAGAAACGTATTTTGTATTTTTTTTTTTCTGAATTAAAACAGCTATGTAAAATATAAATCACAAATGCATCTAAGTTACGAAACGGCCTTCGATTTTGTCTTGGTTTATAATTTTATATTTGTTTGTAAAATTAAATCTAATCAGAAACAGTGTTTCTAAATCAAATAAGACTAACATTTTATATAAGAATCGACTAGGTGTACATACGCCCAGTTTGTAGTTGACCTCGTTAATATTCCTATTATTTAAGATTGAAACCATGGGAAAAACAATCCAGTAATGAAAAAGCAGTACAGTTAAAAATATTTGAATTCTGAACATACATGTTTTGTTTACTCTAAAGCACAATTGTTGTGCTTGAGTAAATGTTCAAAGTGTGTATAGTTAGACTGTTAAAAAGTTTTATATTCATAAAAGGGAACAACAAATAGAAAAAATGATAATGATTCCCTCTTAGTTAATTCATTTGCATAAATAAATTCCAAGTGGACTAATTCATTTCTTATATTTAATAGATATGTATAGTAAATACTTTGCAGCTTTTATTTGGTTTTGTTTTACAAACATCTTTATGAGCAAAATATATTTATAATTTAAAACACTAACAATATGCAAGAGATACATACATTCAAAAAGTTTTATGTTGTAGGCAGAGGCAACTGTGGCCCTCGAAATGCTGATGTCTTTAAACATTGGTATATACTCACATATGTGATATAGTTGTAGTATATTAAGGTAGTAAAAATAGACCTTCATAAACTTGCCTTAGTGCTTTACACTAAAGTAGATATTCAAATCTTTTTCAAACTAAATACCTAATCTACTGACATTTATTACAAAATGATCCAGAATATAAAAAGTTCTTCAAGAGGCTTTTAATGTGGCCCCGTTTATCACAAAACCAAGGCCTGCATTAAAAGGGAAATTTTCAACAGTGTAAGGAATCGAATATTTCTTATGTGTCCTTAGCTACAGCTATGGTTTATTTTGAATCAAACCAGTACTGTACATTTTGAAAGGTGTGGTCGACATTATACAGTACAACTGAGACTTGAACCTCATGTTTCAGGGTGAATAGAGGCACTCAAAATGTGAAACCAATGAGCACTGGAAACAACTGACCATTTGACAGGCTATAACAAAGATTCTCTCCTAGTATTTCCTCACCCATCCATGTAGACCGGAAAAACAAAATTTAGCAAGAATCACCTGTCAAAAGGTGTTTGAAATATCATTACTTTCCACATTATGAAGCAAAATTGCATGCTTATTTAATAAAGTGTGCTGGTCTGTAGACTACTAAATGTTATTGTGCATTAACAAAATGCAAAAAACACGTTGCAAAAGAAAAATACAAAGCTGTGTAGTAAAAAGTAAAAAGTAACAGCACATTAAAAGACGTTTTATGTGTTTGTTAAGATAAAATGCACACTAGATGAGTTTTATAATAGTTAACAGCTCTATTGTCTACAGTTCATCATCTGACTATTGCCTGCAGATTGACAAAGATCGATCAGTATTTTTTGTTAAAAATTAACTAGATTCTAATTTAATCCTTTTTCTAAATTAAGTTCTATATTTTTTTATTCTTATGTAATATTGAGGTGTAAGCACACACACAATTTATATGGTAAGAGTGATCTTTTGTTTATATTTATTGTCCTCAGAAGTAACCAAGTGGAACATGTAATTCAATTTATAGATTACAGTAAATTCAAGCAAACTCATAACCAAAATCGATGTTTAAAATAAATATTTGATAGGGTGTATACATACATACATATTTGTATAAATATTCAACTGAGATTGTTACTCTAAATGGACAAAAAACCTCACTGTTCATGAGAGTAGTTACATATATGTATGCTCACAGTCATAGACATCCCAACTTGAAACTCTGTTTGAGATAAGGGGTCTAAGTCTCAATCATATTGTATAAGGACAATCCTCTTCATAGCTGAACATGTGACTGGTTCGTGACATGCACTAGATGGTAGATCTTTCCTTCTCATTACATGTTAACTTAATAAAAAATTTGAAAAAATTCAAAAACAATTCCAACATAAATTATATTCTAACAATGAGTCGAAACTGCATTATATCAGCGATATTGACTCGCTGTATCAGCGAATTTACGGGTCGCTTGTTTAAGTGCTGTGACGTGTTCAAGTGGCGAAGTCGATTTGAATTTACTCTCATCCAGTCCCCTTTCGGGTTCTTACTACTTCTTATATATAAAAAGAAATATAACAATTTGCATGTATACATTTGTGTTAAAAAAACATCGTGGTCGTCACCCATGGATATGAGCAATGTCAAGGGCATAGCCAAGCTGTTGTCTATCAATGGGGACTCATTTAAAACGTCATTTAAAAGATGAAGCACCATATATGAGAGTATATTCCAAAACGCAGTCGTCCGAAATAGACGGACTTTACTGTGGTGACGAATAGTAAGATGGAAGGAACTGGAGGCGTAAAGTTATCTTGAAAAAAAAAAACCAGAGTCCCAGTCACATCACAGTCCCAGAAGCTTTAAATGATCCGGGAGATCGGCATAGTTGGCGACCCGACGACCCTATTTTGTATGGAATTCCACGACTCCCTTAGATTTCTTCACGTCTGTCATAAGTTTTGTTCATCTCTGCTAAATCACGCTCTGTAAGAAATTGAAAAAATTTTCACCGGAATTTCACGTTTCCCAGATACTATGGGCTGCATAGCATTCCATGCTATTAATGCATATATATCTGTCATTGATATGTGAGTTGAAATGTGCGGTGGAAAGCTCCGGACCTTGTGAACGACAGTGTAAAAGTAAGGCATCTAAGTAGGACCCAAAAGGGTGTTTGTAATGTTCTATACAATACTACTAAAACTCAATCACGCACTGCTGTGACTTTCACAAATTCATGAAAAACATCGAATTCTTACGTCGATGGTAATGGGAGAGAATCATCCTTGAAGTACCAACGACAACTGTATCAAGTTTCATCACAATCGGATGAATGGCTTAGGAACGCATAGAGGACAAATATACTAACATTTATGAGTAAATTTAAAAAATTAGATGAGTAAAACCCGATCATACTTCGCTGTGACTACTGACTACGCTTATTGTGAAAAAAACATCGAGTCTCCAGTGTGCTTAGTGCGACTTTTTAACGTTCTCGATAGCGTAAAATTTAACTGAAATTTGTATGCAGTTGTAACAGCGCCCTTGGCGGCAAACGTTCCACCTCCATACAAACTTGAGTTAACTTTTACGCTATCGAGAACGTTAAAAAACTCGCACTAAGCAAACTGAACTTACTTGCGCACGACCTATTGTACGTTTATGGTTCTATTACCTTCTCTAGAGTGATAACAACAATTGTACCAAGTATCATCTTATGCGGATGAATAGTTTATAAACGCATAGACGACAAACATACAGAGATGCTAACATCGGTAAATACAAGATTAATAGATCATTTTCTTATATATTTATGACAAGCGTCGTATTTATAAAATCGTCAAATAGTACTCGTAAAATTTAGCTATATGGTCTCTATATCTTTTGTAGTTTCACTGCAGGATGTCGAGTAGGTACATCATGAGTGGTGGTATTCTGAAAAATAACCCACATGTGAGAAAATTTATCAGTTAATATTAATATTTCAATCTCAAATGGGCGGTGAACGTCGTAACTTAAAAATTCCTATCCATAAGTATTTTTATACTAAACCTATAACTAAATTCTCAAAAGATAATAAAACTTGTGAAGAAACCGAAATTACTTGGTTATATGCAATATAAGTAGAGTAGAAAAATACCAATATTTTTTAACTATACAAATCATTATATTGCCATTGTCGAATAGTGTATGGTGCTCGTTATAAAGAAAACTTTAACAATCAATAAAGTGATCGTCAGTTTTTAGTATTTGACTCTAGTCACGTGGGGTGGAACACAGCTTGTGTGGCAAAAACTAGGACAAAGATCTAATTCTGGACGGGTACTATTGTACTAAATTGTAATTGTACTAAACTTTATAAATAATCACGCAACCACGTCAGTTAGTGCATTACCAACAAACTGAAAGTAATTATTACACTGAACTACGTAAACTTTGAAGTAGAATCAGTATGAGTCCTAAATTTTTTTGCAGATGGAAAATCTAAGAGTGTGTTGTTATGCCTGTGTACTAAAAATAATATAATCACTAATTATTGGTCAATAAATACTTGTCATGAATTCGTACAATTTATCGGATCGAATTATGTAGGTATTTGATATCTTTGTGACAGCAATAACAACGCGCCCGGCCTGACCTTGCCCGAAGGTAGCAGACGAGATGCGGTTGAAGCACTAGTAATCCAAGTCGCATGTTCCAGATGGAAGAACGCGGGCAGAGAACGGACGACCCAATCACGGCCTTCGCTGAGTTGAACGCGACGCTTGGTAAATCAAATGACCATCCACTTATCGGGTAAGAAGCTTAATACAAATCAATTTAGAGGTATTTTACCCGTTATCAGTTATTTATTTATCACGATTCATCAAGACGATTTCAATATTTCACGATTCATGTACGTATGTCACTCGTTTCTTTATTTCACTATAACATTTAAATTCCTGAAGAGATTTGAATGTATGGTGTATCGTTAGAACCATTACATCAATCCGGGCGCATCTGATTTGTTTTCTTCTTTAAACGTAATTAAGAAAAATGTCCTTAATAATAATAATGTTTTGTAAAGATGCGTGTTACTAGGAGGTGTATGGTAATGGTAGTGCAAGGTAGAGGGGGAAGAGGTCGATCGAAGAAGACATGGATGTAGTGTGTGAATGACGATATGAGAGAGAGAGGAGTGAGTGTTGAGCTGACAGCTGATAGAAGAGAATGGAAGAGAAAAATTAACTGTACCGACCCCACCTAGCGGGTTAAGGTGATGAAAAAGAAGAATAATGTTTTTATTGTTTATTTACATTACATTACATGTAATAAATTGTGAATGTGTATAAAGCATAATTTCTCAGGCGTAACTGGCACATCTATCCGAAGGCCATTCATCTAGAAACTCTATCGGGTAACCGTCAGTATCAACACAATAGTATACGTCTCCAACGTTCTGATGCGGTTGGTAGTTGCCATTAGCCAAACATATTTCCGTCACAGTCATGCCCCGTTCTGGGAAATATATCATGGTGTCGCGAGCACAATCTGAAAGAAAGAAAAAAAAAAACAATTAATGTATCGGAAAACCGATATTCAACAACTAAAAGTGGTTCAAAATTTGGGTTTAACAAAAGATAAATGCAGACGGCGTAGTTAAGAACCTTTAGAATTGATAGGGCAGATACCATAAACGTATATTGCGGGTGTTAAACAGCTTTACCTCCAGATACAATAGTGTTGCCATTGCTACGTATGGTAATAGCAGCATTACAGCGAAATACGCCCACTGAATTTCTCGCTGGACCTTCTCAGTGGGTCGCGATTCCGATCCGGTGGTAGATTCTGCGAAGCACTGCTCTTGCTAGGGTCAGTGTTAGCAACTCTCCGGTTTGAGCCCCGCGAGCTCACCTACACACGCTAGGGTAAGCTGAAATAGCCTCCCAAGGCTATCAGCATGGGTAGGGAAAAAAAGAAGCGAAATACCACTAAAAATGTATGGCCTACATGGGCCTACAGCATCGCTTCCAATCGAATAGAAAATTTTAATTATCCATTTTCGTCCGTAGCTACTCAATGAAAAATAAATAGGATCTTTTCATTTTTGTAACAGAGATCCTTGCAGTTTAATTCTGGTACATTATAACTTCTCAAATGGATTGTAAACATTAGATTATAATATTGTCTTATTGTATCTTCCTGTCTTCCATCGTATTTATTCTAAGTTTTTAAATTTCATGTTATCAAAACCAAATAAACGAAGAACCATTTATTTTGTAAATTTAATTGAAGCTCTAGCTCAGTTGATGAACCTACATCACTTTTATCGTTTCACAAATACTAGAGAAATTGTAAGTCGAAAATGTGACATTAAAAGTTTAAAAGCAAACCTTTATAATAGCAAAGATTTTACTTCGTTTCATCAAGGAATATGATAGTGTACTTTAAATAATAAAAAAACTGTTCGTCCTCTTTGACATTTCATTTTTGTTACTTCACTAATTTTTAATATTGTACGTAGAAATAATGAGGGAATTCGAACTATAATATTTGAAGGTTTAATTAATATTTGTGTTAGTATTAACCGGAAAGAAAACCGGGCGTTCAGACGTCCCGTTCAGTTGTTTCACAATTTGTTTGATGGTATTGAAGTATTCATTACAATATTATTGTTTCCCTTCTTTCGAAATAACAATTTGNTTACTTCACTAATTTTTAATATTGTACGTAGAAATAATGAGGGAATTCGAACTATAATATTTGAAGGTTTAATTAATATTTGTGTTAGTATTAACCGGAAAGAAAACCGGGCGTTCAGACGTCCCGTTCAGTTGTTTCACAATTTGTTTGATGGTATTGAAGTATTCATTACAATATTATTGTTTCCCTTCTTTCGAAATAACAATTTGGTTAGTCGCGTTCAACATTCCAACATTACGAAGAGATGGGCGGAATCGCACGTCGTATTGAGAACAGGGTCACGGCTGTGAACCGGTCTCTGTGGCACAATACAAATCTATCAGTCTTAACGGTATCGCTATGTTTGTAATTCCTTCCTACCCCTTACATTTGTGTTGTGTAATTAAGTCACCATGCTGATTTATTTAATCCTTTTTAATATCAATACTTACTGCAATTCATTCTAGACATTTCACTGCTTATAACTTGCCACGAACCCAGTATCTCACCATCCCTTCCAATACAGTATGCACTGGAAAAATATGCAGTTATTCTAAATGTTGTCTAAAATTATTATAAAGGTCAATGGGTGAAATGTCAAATAACTTTTTAAACTAACGTTAGACGAGTTGGGCCGACACTGATATTCCTACAGTCACCACGATCTGAATAATGCCGTCCACCGTAAAACATAAGGCAGTCAGACACAAGACGTGACAATTCCTTTAAATAATGGCGATCCTGTGCTTTACCTCTAGCCCTTCCACTAGTAGTTCATTTAAAAGAGGTACTCAATATATTCTGCATTTTTTTATTTGATAAAACACCAAAAATTTAATAGATACATACACTCCGTTCCGTATTTGAAACGGTCCATAGCTTCCATCATAAGCACAGAATGTCGTGGGGTTACCGAAAAACTTAGTGCCATGTTCTGCTTGCTCTTGATTAATCGTTGCCATTGACTGAACTAAACTTTCACATCTTCGCAAGTATTGCTCGCCTGCCACTCCCGCACTATCTGTGGATATATTAGTTAACGAATTCAATTACAGTTAAGTAACATATAGGTCAGATTAAAAACATATTTTCATTAAATGTTTTAAAAGAATCATAACACTTGCGAAACAGAGCCTGATCGATATAGGAAGTGAGTCAACCTTCAGAGGTGGTTGCCCTCTTTCTCAACACGTCGCTACCGCCCTAGTTCAGAATTAACCTAATTAATAGATGCGCTGATACTTTGCAAAAGTATATAGGTAACTGTTGTAAATGTTTTTGGCTATTAGAACCTTAAATTAACAAAAGTTAGGTTATATTATTTTATTTAGGAGGTAAACTATATGTAAGTACGTCTTTTTCTGCAGTTTCCGCGAATCGTAGACAAAAAATATTTTTACGGTTTAAACTCCGGTTTTCGGCATTAGATTATTTTTGACGTTATTTTAAAGAAGGCAGGCATTTTGGCTGCCGGTAGGTAGTTATCTTTGCTGATTGACGTCAACACTTCTGGAGACTCTTAAGGACTTTTTCAAACCTAGTTTGAAAAAAGGACCTGTTAGAGCTCTTGGGAAACGTCGTTGGAGGAGAGCTATTTATATGCAGGATATGTTCCAAAAATAATCTCTTAAAAGGCATTGGGGTTGGAACAACGCTTCGAGATAATATAGAAATTAAGATTAGTACCGAATGAGAAATTTCGATGGTTAAATTATATAATTTGACAATTTTATAAACAGAAGAAAAAATTCTTACACCGTCAGATTCTCTTTAGACGACTGATAAGGTACTTACAGCACGGCAAACGCTTCATATCTTCTTGCGGAACTGGGGTGACCGTTGGCTGTCCCGTTTTAACATTTGCACACCAGCATAGCCCATCATCACATTGTAAGGGCTCATAATCACCGTTACCAGTACAGTGTAGTGTTACAAATTTTCTTCCCGATGCTTCTATTTCGGCTCGTCTTCTGCTACATGCTAAAAAATTAAAGGTCATAAGACAAAGCATAAACTTAGCTACTTTTGTCTAATATGAGCAGAAACAAAAATGTCTTTGGTTAATATAATGTCACGGGACATTGACAGTGACTCGATAAGGCTGTAAACTATTGACAAATCAATATTCTTCTCACACGTATATTTGTTTTTGAAACCGAAATTTAGTTTGTACGAATCAATAATGCAATGTGGATAAAAAGCTGCTAAATTTAAAACGAAAATATTTTTTGAATAGATGTCATTTGAAAATTAATTGTTAAATTAAAAGTATCAACAGTAACAGCTATGGTATGTCATACATTTTATCTGTTTGTTGCTACATATTTAACTCTCGGGCAAACAGCACTAGATAACTAAGAATGCATTCTCACCGCAACTCATGTCACTAGCTTCATTCCGCCACATTTGTCCAAATATTCTGTTTCCATCTTTATCGGAACAGAAACACCTGTGTAAATTGTATTAAAACAAATAAATATGTCTCATTCTTGCGTTTGAATACAGTAATGCATTGGCACGATGGATGTAACTCGAAACTAGTATAATAATTAATGAGTTAAATTTTTTGATTGTAAAATATTATATCAAAATATTTGGGTAACACCTAACATTATATTATGACGCGCATCGATGTGTTGTTGTTGCCGATCTATACATATATACTGTTTTGTGATTAAGATGCACGTTATTTAGAGACTTCCACCTGATCTGATGAGTGGTAACATTTTTGTGGCGATCTCTGAGTTTCGGTGTTCGCTAAATTCAATGAAGTCGTGAGCTCTTCTGTACGTATGAAAAAACATACCGTCCTGTGAACATATCGCCTTTGCATTGTACTGGTCCAAAAGAACCATCAGGTAAACAGCTAGAAGGTGGTTTGCACTCCGTACCATCGCCCGGATCAGCTACAGAACAAAAAGAGTACATATATTAGAAATTATCTCTGTTAATTTTACTCCCTTTTTTTTTATTCTACCGAGCTGAGAGCCTTGATAGGCTATTTCAGCGTAACCTTAACTAGTAGGTGAGCTCACGGGGCTCAAATCTGAGGACGTTGCTAATACGAACCCTAGCAAGAGCCGTGTTTCGCAGAATCTACCACCGGATCGGAAACGCGACCCACTGAGAAGATCCGGCGAGAAACTCAGTGGGCTGTGCCTGTGGGTTAATTTACTCGTGGAGCCCTTCGTCGCAAGCGACGGTTTCGACGAGAACGATGACCGGTGCTTGAGGCACCTAAAAAAAGCACCGTTAGTGGATCGGGAGAATCCGAAATGAATGTTTGGGGCAACGTCGACTGCTTTCCATTCTGTCCGCAGGATCGGGAATGTAGTTACCGGCGGCCACGATGAGAGGGTTCTCGTGTCGTGCCGCTTTATCGAAGTGGTTTTACTCACGATAAAATTTTGGTTGTTAGTCATTTGGTACCAAATTATAAGTTTTTTTTTATTTAGTGCCCTTGTAGGTAGACGAGCGTACGGACCACCTGATGGTGAGTGGTTACTGTCGCAATGCCAGGGGCAAAGCCAAGCCGCTGCCTACCGCTTAATACTCTCCACAAGCCTCGTTTGAAGAAAGACATGTCATAGCGCTCGGGAAACACCGTGGAGGGGAGCTCATTCCTTAGCCGGATGGTACGTGGCAAAAAAGAACTCTGGAAACGCACTGTAGATGACCGCAGTGGCTCCAGCTAGTATAGATGAACTCTACTCCGGTGGCGGGCGGTGCGATGGTAAAAACGAGATGAAGGTATCTCGAACAATTCTTCAGAAGTGTACGATTATACAAATGTAAAGCTCCTCAGTGAGTCCAATGTGTTATTTTGTTAGAAAAGGATGTTTGTTATTATTAATTATATGTAACATTATTATAATTAGTAAAGCAGAGCCAGTACCTTTACGAATGACCTTTATGATTTGCTCACATAATATCTAAAATATCGCGTTCCACTTAATTTATATCGCACGTAAATCAAAGTTGTTTTTTTACTGCATTAACGAGCTCATAAGCTACCTGATATTAAGTGGTTATCGGAGCTTACAGACGTCTCAACTTGAATAACGCTGCTTGACTTGGGACGGGAGGTCGCAGTCACAATTCTATTGTAGTCCGTGTCTCAAACACCCCTTCAAACCGGAACGCATGACTGTTAGCGACAAATCTAGCTATATAGGTTGGTGATTCCCGTACGGGATGACAATACGCCAAGTTACCACTTCAAAACAATTGCGCAATAGTTGAATAAAATTATTTAAAGAAACAATTTATTCGAGTTAATAATAAGTCCTTTCCCGGAATCTGCGGTGGTCGTTCCTAACGACTAGATCGTATAACAGGTAACTTCCGACACGTCAAAATAAGTTAAATTTATAAATATTGCACCCACTTACTGGTGGTAGGACCTCTTGTGAGTCCGCACGGATAGGTACCACCACCCCGCCTATTTCGGCCGTGAAGCAGTAATGCGTTTCGGTTTGAAAGGTGGGGCAGCCGTTGTAACTATACTGAGACCTTAAAACTTGTATCTCAAGGTGGGTGGTGCATTTACGTTGTAGATGTCTATGGGCTCCAGTAACCACTTAACACCAGGTGGGCTGTGAGCTCGTCCACCTATCTAAGCAATAAAAAAAAAGAAACACAGAACGCAACATTTTACAATTATCAAGTACAAGCTCTATAAATTAGAGTATCAATAAAGTAAGCCTGAATAATGCTTACTCGGGCCAGGTAGTCGACACGCAGGACAACAATTGAAAATGTGTACATTTGGTGCCAAAACTTCGCCAGCAAGACAATCAGAAACTGTGGCGTCGTGGACACAGGTTTGCGCGACTTGGCACTGCGAATTCACCACACAAAACCAATAGAAACACAATGCTAACACTATCCAGATCCTCGATAAATGAGTATTTATAAAATACATTTTAAACAACAAAAAAAATATACACTTATTTGTCCCACCGTTTATCATCGAATATAATTTGTTAATTATTGTTCGAAAACGTTATCAACGATAGCGGTATCATTGAAATCTTATCTACTTGTGTTTATTTTAATCAACTGTCGATTTGATTCATGTCATCCGTGTGTATTTGAAGCAGCACTTTCATAAAATATGGAGCTAATCATATTTCACTGTGATTCATTTTATGTCGGGATGTAATTTAGCAAAATGTTTTATTTAAAGAATTCTTGAAAATTGTATAATACATGTATTCTACTTTCAAAGTACTGTAACTTGACACTAGTTCATGTGCTCAAATTCCATTTCATTATTTTAAAAGATTTGTAGAATTTTGTATATTTGTATTGATGTTATAATTTGCAACTTCAGGTGTACTATCACATATCTAAGGCCATTTTGGACCGTGACGACCGGGTGCAAAACTCATTTAGATCCGATCCGCGATTATCCGAAATAATGAAAATAATATTTTTAAATTAATCTTAAAAAAAATTTAAATGCCTACTCGTATAATTAAGAATTTGAATAAAAATAAAGCGTGTTATCAGCGCTATCGCTATCTCAAGTAAAATTACTCACAGAACGATCAAACAGGGCTAACGTCGCGAGTCGTGCGCCAGACCCCGTTCTTAGCGCATAACACCTGCGCTCGCACGCACTTCGCATGGCTCTTATCTTATTTTATCTGTTACGTGCAAACGCGTTCTATTTATTACTCTTAGTTCATACAGCTATGTTATTGAGTTTGTGAAATTGTCTTTTCAGATCGGATTGAAACGGGCGTACCCGGCTAGCATGGAGGAGAGCAAGAAGAAACATTCGGGCACGAAAGTTTCTAAAATTGCGAATATTTTCCAAGGAATGCCGTCAAGAGAAGACGACGATATGCGCGGTAGCGATGTGACAGTCGTGAGGACGGAGAGCCATTTGGCGCGTTTCAATAACGCTCGAGCGCTATTCGAAAAATTGGGAGAAGAGAATCGTGGATTTCGTATTGAGAAATCTCCTTCAGCTGCAGCTAGCTTTGCTGGTACGCGTGGTGGTCCGCCTGTGGCACCATCTCGATCGCGATCCAGTTCCGCTGGTTCGGTGAGTCCACCGCGCCGAATAGTAACACCAACGCCTACTGCTGCGAATGCAGTTAATGGTGATAGACTTGCCAATGGTGCATCACAACCTCCTCCGAAACCGGCAAAACCCAGTGTTTTACCCAAACCAGAGAAGCCAGATAGAAAATTCAATAAGGAATTGATTGAAAAACAAAGAAATTGGACTGCACATTTCAACAAATCAAAGCAGAATCGGAATGAAATTGAAACTAAATTAGACTACAAATATACAAGTGGTATTCAAGAAAGAAAGTCACCGGAAGCATCTGAACGATGTGCGATTCCGTCGCGTGTGTATTCACCCCCACTTTCGCCTTGTGCTGGCAACTCACAACTCGAACGTCCAACGACCCTTCCTTCATCACTCATCAATCGCGCCGTTCCTGTTACAAAGTCTCCGAGTCCTGTCAAAAATATTATAGCTTCACCATCGCCCAGATCGAATAACATTTTGGTATCGCCTGTTTTAAGAACCGATAATATCATTTCACCGCCTGTGCGAAGTGACAATATTTTCCATAAACACAAAACAGACATAAACGCACAGCAGATGGACTTGACAGAAAATATTTATCCTAAAAGAAACTCTTCAGTATCACCACAAAGAGAAGCTGGTTTTGTAGCATCGTCAGGAGCAGAACGATTGCAGTCCCCGAAAGCGGTTGACCGGACATCTCCTGTATTGGATGCGGTGGTGGCAACACAAAGCAATCAAAAATCTCCATCACCATCGGCTAGAACATTAAAGAACCCTGTTTGTTCTCACGAACAAATTAACGTAAATACTTCCGAACCTGATCGATCTTTGTCACCATTATCTGATCGTGCAATAGAACCACCAGAATATCCTATGGACGTAGTACTACCAGATTCTTGTACGAAGTCTAATGATTCTTCACCGCAGCTACCTCATGACAAATTGGAAGGAAACAATTCTCTGCCCGTAAAAAAGGGTATTGAAACTGATTTGACAGCTTCTCAGCTGTCATTGGATAGTGAGTACAGATTGGAGAAAGACTTATGTTCCGAACAATATGAAGATGATGATGATGAGAAAGCAAAACGGCGTTCTTCAACTCCTGAATCTCCAGCGTGCGAGAAGAAGGAAGATGTGCTAAATTTTCCTGTGGCATCACCACTTGCGTCTCCTGTTCATCACAATCTGAACCTATCGCCGCCGTCCTCGCTACATCCATCAGGTGAGTTTTTAATGTATTTATGTTATGATGACGTGCGTATAATGTTTATATTGAATGAAATAGCTAATCTTATCATCCTCCGTCTCTTTCTAGACACTAAAACTTTTGTTTTATCTTAGTGTTATCATTACAAAGAAACGGCAATGACGTATAAGTCTAGCGGTTAGCGTTAAAAAGTGTTGGACGCCATCTATTTGGCTCGAGATAATATTATCGCACCTTTGTAATGGGTGTTTTGTGAAATTATAGGAAATAATTTATAAGGGGTTCATTAATATATTGTAATAACGGACATCTATCTATCTTAGCCTTCAAATCTGATAGCAAGATCGCTTCGTAGCAGACATAGGCAAAATAGTAGCTTCGGTGCCAATCCGTGTGGTTTTGTGTTATTTGTTATGCCATTCCTACATCATGGTAGTTACCGTTCGATGATATAGTTAAACTATTAATAAGTAGAAAAGTATCTAATTGGGCTAGCACTGATGTACGGTATAGCCACACCAAGCACGGACACTTTAATGTTAGCGATAATTTAAAATGGAGCTTTTTAAGAAATTATGCTTATCGAGTTATCTTTATTGTGGGAAGTAAATGTTATCCATAGAAAAGTTTAAGTGGGCGTCGATTGACGTACGTTTAGCGGTCTCGTTCTCATTGGGTTCAATGTAATATTGAGGAAGTCAAGGTATTTGAGTCGTTGCGAGACTAGCCAGCCGATCCCGATTTAGATGCGCCAGCGGCGTCGCCTCCGCCGTCGCGACGCAGTAACCCGAGCGACTTCGCCCCGTGCGCTTCCCTACGATTCTTACTTATACCGATTCGTTTCATTTACAAGTTCAGAAATAAACCCGTTAATACTATTAAAACTGTGTTCGTGAAGTGAAACGTGTCGCTCCGTACATCACAAGATCAATTTCGTGTTTACGTTTTTACGTACGTACGTTCGTGAGTTGTAATCGAATCGAATTCTTTCCGAGCATTCTGAATTTGATATCATGCAGTTAAAGTTATAGAATATGAACGTTAAATTTTTTACTTCATGTAATATCGTAAAATAAGTTCAGATTTACGAAGTATCAGTATCAAGATAGGAAGGAGTAACAGTCGTCTTCCATGTTCTTGTGTTTGTCATTCGGTTCGCGAAATAAACGACAAACTGTCATTTCTGTTTACAATATACTGTCGTGAACTGTATATAAGATAAATAACTCGAAGGTTTTAAGTTCCGAATCATATTTGATTATCGTCAGTCAATGAATACAATTGTTGTTTTTTTTTTTTAAATGAGCAATGACGTGTGTGAAATGAACCGTAATGTTCACTGTGTTTGTGTAAGGTTATAAATTGTTTCGGTTGCCTTTGTTGGCGACTTGTTTATCTGCGGTTGTGTTTGTTTTCAAATTGCACAGGCACCGGTGTCCGACGACGTTCCGCTCGTAAATTTTTACCGTACACATTATGTGTATATATGCTCTGTTCTTGTAGTAGTTATTTTTTCTTGAGCCAGTCGAATGTTTTGTTGTTAATTTTTATCGTGAAGATAGGGTGACGAAATATTAATTTTTGTATTTGAGTGAAGAGGACAAAATACGTCGTTTAGAAATAAACGTTCGCGTGAATGTAAGCGGTGTAAAGTGCAGAAAACATCAAGAATGGTGCTGTGATGAAGTGGGTGCAGAGTGCACTAGCTGCACGCACACGCAAAAAATGCGCCTGTGCGGCTGCTGTGTTGGTTAGTTACATGTTATTCTAAAATATTAACAAATCGTATTCATAACCGTATAGATGTCAGATAATAAAGTCGTAAAGGTGTGTACTCATATTCGATAACTCATTTAATTGACACCTTTACGTTATTCAACTTTATCTACACCAGCACTTTTCATCAGTGAATAATGTCAGAACTTACTTGAATGAAATGATGTGCTGTTAAATAGAATTGTATAAATCTAAACTTAATCGCTTATTTAATCAAAATATCCTACTAGATTTAATTTATGACACTAAAACTACAAAGTTTTTTTTATCTTTTTAAGTGGCAAGGCTTGGCCTCCGGCCCAATCCTAATCCTAACATCCCAAAAAAAAAAAAAACACAAGTTTTATGTATTTTTATTGCGTGGGGGAACTTCTTCATAACTTGGCGTAATGACTAAAGATTACCCGATTAGGAAAGCTATCTAAAATTTATTTATGTGTTTATGTATACATAATGATTACCAAAACTATGATATTTCGAATATTAAAAATTCAATGGAATTATTTCATACGCACATCAATGAATATTTCGTTATTACAAAAGCGCTCAAAGATTATGACTCCAATCAAAGAAATTTGTTCAGTAGCTATGTATGTATTCATATGTCTGCGCGCCACATGCTCGAGCCAATTTAAAATAACGTTTCAAATATTAAGTTCGGTATTAATTAATAAAGTGGATATGACTCGTCTCGGGTTCGGGATCGCGTGACCGATCCAACGGCAATACCGATTCCTTTATGTTTCTTAACAGTCGTGTATGCATGCGGTGTCCGTTCTTGCGCTAAACGTAAACGGTTTACGGTACGAATTGATCTGGCGGCCTTGACGTTACTCGACCTTGAACACGTCATTCGATAGGTACTTGACAAGTAATAAAAAAAATACGCTTATGTATAATTTATAATAGAACGATTTTTCTTTTCATTTTGTTAATCACTAATAATTTGAGCAATAATCAAACGATGATCGACAATTTATCGATAGCCTTATGACATTAAAATAATGAAATTTTTTTTTGTTTATTTTTATATATATTTATGATATTGACATATAGACGCTACTAGTGTTATGTTATTCGCTGTTAGTTGTCCGTGATTATATTCGAACTAACAAAAACAATAAGAGAGAAGCTGTTTTAAATGGCAAAAAAAATCTCAGCTAAACTTAGTACGTATTTTTTATGTGCAAAAACACGAAAGTAGTTTTTGTTTATTTGAAAACTAAATAGATTAACAATTAAGTAGTTGACTAATATCGTGTTTTAATATGTATATAGGCATAGAGAGGAGTATATCAAATACGCTAATTGATTAAACAATTGAAATCTGCTAAACATTTTGTGTTAATAAGGACTTAAATTTGTTAATAGTATTTGATATTTTGTCCTTTTTCTGCAGCGCGATTTGTAGAATTTGTATCGCAGTTAAACGTTGACGTTGTTGTACAAAATAATGCGCATAAAGTTATAACGCTAATAACATTATTTTCTACGTACATTTTTTAACCAACTCCTCATGTCTCATTGTTCAACCGTTCTCGAAGTCGTCGTGGCCTAAAGGATAAGACGTCCGGTGCATTCGTATGTAGCGATGCGTCAGTGTTCGAATCCCACCGGCAGGTATCAATTTTTCCGATGAAATACGTACTTAACAAATGTTCACGATTGACTTCCACTGTGAAGGAATAATATCGTGTTGTAAAAATCAAACCCGCAAAATTATAGTTTGCGTACATACTGGTGGTAGGACGTTTTGTGAGTTTGCATGGGTAGGTTCCACCATCCTGCCTATTTCTGCCGTGAAGCAGTAATGCGTTTCGGCGTTTCGGTTTGAAGGGCGGGGCAGCCGTTGTATTGTTCAAAGTGAGAACTTACAACTCATGTTTTAAGGTGGGTGGCGGCATTTACGTTGTAAATGTCCATGGGCTCCAGTAACCACTTAACACCATGTTGGCTGTGAGCTCGTCCACCCATCTAAGCAATAAAAAAATTAGGTTATTTTGTTAACGAGAATAAATAAATATTTTTCATCACGTGAGTTCATTTATATTATATTCAATTTTTTATTATTGTGCATGTGTCTGTGTAAACAGTTCATTTGGTGTTAACTCCATCTGCTAACCACTTCTGGTAGCCTATAAACATCACAATGTAATTGACATGAGGTCTAAGACTCAACCATATTGTGTAACGTAATTACTGTTTCACTCTTCGAACAGAAATGTATGAAAGCTTCGTGACAATTGGGTGGGATTATAGTTTTATTTATTTATTTTTTGCGTACCTATTCGCTGGTAAAGGGCTATTCCAGCTACGCCCGGACGGGATTTTAGTATCTAAGTACCTATGCAAGGCGTGTAGGTAGACACTCCAGATCATTATCGATTTTAGCCAGTTTAAAGCTGATTATATTAGATTAATATAAATGTATCGATTTTACTCCCGAAATTTTTACGATTTGCGCTTTTAGTCTATGAAAGGAACGCACGCGTTGATCACAATCGCGTCATTCAGTTAAAGATCGACGTAGCCATTTTGATAGTATCCTAGAATCTGTAAGTAGTTTCCAATAAAATTAAAGATTGTTCTCAAACGTTATACGTTATAAATAATTTGATCTAATTTGAATGTTTATTGTTTTGTGGTGGGCACCTGTACTCTTGCTTCGATATTACGGAAATGAGAGTATGCGCTAAATATAGATATAACCTCATTAACCTAAATACTATGTTGGTGTTTTCATCTCGGCTTCAAACGGTACTACTAAAAGAAATAGATGTAGAGTAATTGTATTTGTCATATTTTTTTTGAATCATTTGTCACATTACAATATTTGATTGAAATATCCTTGATGATCAATTAAAGGACAAAAAATTCTGAGATGTTCCTCTTCAATTATGACTCTGAATGGAATCTACACGAGACAAGAATGTAAATCTGAAAATAATGGCAAATGAATTGCGTATTTTTTTAGAGACGATTTATCAACGACAAATAATTTTAGTGTAAATAATTTTTATCGTCTTCACAAACTTCTAATAATAAACATAATGTTGTCTTAAAGTGGGCGGTGGACGTAAGTCGTCGGAAACTGAAGAGACTCCACCGAGACGCGGCGGCTCGCGCGCTTCGAGCGTCTCTGACGAGGGCGGGTTCAACGAGCCCTCGCCGGAGGTGGTGGCGCGGTTGAAGCCAGCCGACTACCGCGATACTGCCGCCTCGCTCACCGCCGACCAACGGGATGACGAGCGTGCGCGCTCTGATGCAGACACGCTTTCAGTGTTGCAACAGGTACATTGTGTGCTCGTAATAGTGCTGTTTTTAGAAAATTTACGTTCGGACAGTAACGTTTCGCTTCGTAGTCTATTGGAAATGTTTTCTTGAGAATTGGCACTCACAATCAAGAAACAATACAGTCACGTTTTAGTTACATCCAGCTTCAAGAGCGTGTTCACGTTTACTAGAATGTTAGATTTTATGTGATTTTGAAATGTGTCCATCGTATCTGTCTANCTCGTAATAGTGCTGTTTTTAGAAAATTTACGTTCGGACAGTAACGTTTCGCTTCGTAGTCTATTGGAAATGTTTTCTTGAGAATTGGCACTCACAATCAAGAAACAATACAGTCACGTTTTAGTTACATCCAGCTTCAAGAGCGTGTTCACGTTTACTAGAATGTTAGATTTTATGTGATTTTGAAATGTGTCCATCGTATCTGTCTACATCTGTAAGGACGCGTTTGCGCGATTGTGGAATTTCAGGACTCCGGTGTGGTTGTGAGTGAGGCGAGCCAAGGCTCTATAGAGGTGCTCGACAAGTCGACCACCAGCCAATGGAGCGTGTCCGAGGCCGAGAACGGCGAGGCGTCGCGCGACGTGCAAGACGCGCGCTGGGACGACGCCGACACCAAGCAACCCGACAGCATGACGCCCGACGAAGCCGAAATACTGCTCAGCAGCAGGTGATTTGGTCGTATTACTTCCTCACTCACACATCGTACACGCGTAGTTACACGCACCGACACGATAACGATAGATCGGAACGATGTATCGTCATCGTGTCGGTGGTGATCTAAAAAGTTCTTACAATTTTTTTTCTATTCAAAACCTGATGAATTATAGTGCATCCAGTTTTGTAATTCTGTGCTAATTTCTTGTCTTGTGTGGATAACTCACTATTTCTTCGATATTGTTTATATTTATGTAGAAGTATGTAGTTTTTAATGTCATGTAATAAATAAATGCTGATGAATGCAACAAAATTAGACGACCTCTTTGTTTGCAAATATGTTTCTTCATGTATATTATTAAGACAGCGAAGCCTAGTGAATTGTATGAAAAATAACATGGCTCAGTAAATTTTGAAATACAAACCTTAACATAAAATATTTTAGTATATTAGTTGTTATTTCTTTTTATTATGCATGGATATTATTATTTTTGTAGTATATCTCTTTAGTGTTTTTGCTATACGATTCGCTACTTATGCAATTATCTATTCCTTCGTATAATTTGTTTGGCTTTTATTATTTAAATGTTGTATTTTATCATTTGCATGCGACCTGTCCGCACAACGCTTCATTTTTGCCCTGATCACATTTGCAGTATTCTGGAGAAAAAACTTAGGTAAGCTCTCTCCTGTGTAGTGTTTGTTCTTTTATTTTCTTATATTTCACGGTCTGAGGTTGTATGGGCTATTATTAGATAGTAAATTAAAAATATGATCTCATCAATACAGTTTATTTACGCTCCAAAATAAGTATTTACCTAATTAACTTTTTCATATTACTGTTTTGTGTGTAGTTTTGTTTTTGTAATTATTAATACCATGAATGAATCAACCACCATCTTAAACAATAGCATGTATACTTATTTTGGATCTCAAACGGTATGTATTGTAGTATTAATAAAAAAAGTAGTAATTTAGTAAGTAGTAAATAATATGAATTTGACAACAGTATTTGCCTTTATAATAGTATAATAGAATGGGGCGGTTTTGCTGTGCTCTAGGCATGGGCATTGTCTATATCCATATATCGTCAAGGAATGGTTGAACTGGTTCGATGTTGTTCATTGTATGAACGGTTAAGTTATAGATACAGTTTTCTTGATAATTTCTGTTCCAGCAGTAAGTTGTTGTGTTACTATAAGTTGTAAATATAAGTTAATTATAATTTCTTGTTATTTTATAATTCATATGATATTTTTCTTGTATGATATTATTAGACGAAAAAACTAGTTTAAATTTTATATATAGCCCCATAAAAAAGCTTTTTTAATTTAAATTTTTTTTTTGATTTTTTACCCCCCAAAATTTCATTTTACCCCATTTCAATTTACCCCGGTTCCCCGATCGCTGTTCTAAACCGATGTTTCTATGACCGTATTATCTAAAAGAACTCTCACGTGGACTAAGCAAACGAGAGTCCTTCATAAACTGGTTATGTGTTTTAGACAAGAAGCTCTACTGTCGGATGAACAGGCGCAAGAGATAGTGGCGATGTTGTCGCACGACAACGGCGTCTCGCTCAACGACAGCTACCAGTCCGTGCTCTCTTACGAGAGGTAATTACATTTAGGGTTTTACTAAGTGTCGCGCAACTTCTGACAGGACATACGACCTACAATGACTAGACATAGACTAAGAAAGAGACTTGACAGGTGTGATTTTTTTTCATAATAGTTAAATTTTATTGTTTTCTGAAAATAACAAATCATAGGTGTTGTTGATTCAAATATGTTGATTAAATAATATATTTTAAAAGAATATTTCGTAGTGAATTATGAACTAAAATGCAAACCGTTTTGAAGTCGCCGTGGCCTAAAGGATAAGACGTCCGGTGCATTCGTATGTAGTGATGCAACGGTGTTCGAATTCGGCAGGCGGGTACCAATTTTTGTAATGATATAAATATTTAACAAATGCTTACGATTGACTTCCACGGTAACTACTGGTGGTAGAACCTCTTGTGAGTCCGCCCGGGTAAGTACCACCACCCTGCCTATTTCTGCCGTGAAGCAGTAATGCGTTTCGGTTTAAAGGGTGAGGCAGCCGTTATAACTATACTGTGACCTTAGAACTCATATTTTTAGATGGGTGGTGCCATTTACGTTATACATGTTTATGGGCTCCGGTAACCACTTAACACCAGGTGGGCTGTGAGCACGTCCACCCATCAATGCAATAAAAAGCAAATAAAAAAAAACCTTTTGATAGGCGGCGTCTCTAAAATATATTTTCGCGTGCCATCCCTACACTAACGTCCAAGACAAATGAGTGCAACCAACCAACAACTAACTTTTAATTAACTTTTAACAATTACATTATATTCTGAAAAACGACGTTTGATTAACGTTGATACGTTTTGTATACTTTTATTTTGGTTTGATCATTAAGTGTTTCGGTTTTACGCAGTATGCAGTCCGTGGATGAGAGCTACGAATTCGTTTCACTAGAAGCGGACAATGGAATGGCCGGTGGCGACAGGAAGCTGCCCTCCGAGCATGTTAGCGAACATGTCATCGAACATGTCGCCGAATCTGTCGCGGAGCCTGTTGGCGAACCAGACTCCGTGTTTGATTGCTACCCGCCGCAGCACCTGCGTGAGCTCGGCGAGGAGAACGGAATACATTATTTCGAAGATGGTCATTTTTATACAGAAGTATGTTTTGTTCCATTCGTTCTTTATTTTCTATATATAGAAGTAGATTCAATATAAAATCTGCCAATATTAATACTAGTCTATAATTAATTATAATGACATATGGAAAAGTTCAGGTTATAAATAAGAACACTGCAGTATACGACTCCCCTTAACAATATTAATTTGCTAAGCTCAGAATAACTTGCCATTTATTATAAGTTCTTGATTTATGGAACTGCTCAAATCCGCCACATTGATTATGTTGATTTGAATTTAGTCTAATGAATGCAGTTTAAATTACATGAGTTAAATAATTTATTTTAATAGTTTTTCATAAAAAATCATAAAATCCACAGAATCCTATATCAATTTTCGGGAATGGTTTTCACACACCCTTTATGAGTTGTGAAAAAGACAAGAAGCGATTGTAATTATGTCATGTACTATAATTGGTCCGTCATGCAATGGTATGTTTGTACAACAGGTTGCCGGCTTACCTCCAGAGGAGGAAGAGGAGGACGATTATTACCCACCAGTATTTGTTAAAAAAAGTTCCAAAGTTAAATTCAGGTTAGTCATCTTACATATTCAGTAGTATTAAATTAAATATTGAGTAATATTATTTAATTTAGTAACCATTATGTGGGTAGCCAGCTCCAGTTAAGTAACAAATAACAGAGAGCTGCTTCCGTAGTGTTGTATTAAAACGAATGAAGATTACAATGAATAAGTGTATAAATGCATGGATGAAACAATTTTAGTGGAAACTTCGGATTATTATACCTTTTAATATACACGTGTATATATTTGTTTAGTGCGTGTGTGTATGTTACTGAACTCCTACTAAACGACTGAGCTGATTTCGATGAAATTTTTGATATGTTTTCAAGCGGATTCGAGAATGATTTAGATTCGCAATTCGATCACGAATGACTGTAATTTAAATCGTCTCTAAAGATTTTCTAATGCAAATATTATGATGTTGTAACAGCACGAATCCGATGCGCGTGTTCTCGACCCACTCCGTGCGGGAGTACGACCGCCGCAACGAGGACGTGGACCCGGTGGCCGCCTCCGCCGAGTACGAGCTCGAGAAGCGCGTCGAGAAGATGCACGTGTTCCCCGTCGACCTCGTCAAGGGCGCCGACGGACTCGGCCTCTCCATCATAGGTGACGCACACACGTGTATACCGGGTGTTAGGATACGAAGACAGACAATACTACTAATGACACCTTTGATGATGGAACGGAAAAAAATCATATTTTTAAAACGTTTTATTAGCTTTATTTACACGCCATCATGTTAGTACAGCTAAATGAAACGATAGATTCAAAAAAAAAAGACATTACCATGACATGGGGTAAATTGGGATTCTGGGGTAAATTGGGACAAACCTGCGGAAGATTCTCAAAGTACTTGTAGCACGGAATCTACCTAATTTTCTTTAAGGTAATATTTATCAATTTAAAGAAGAAAAACCAAGTTAACTATGGAAGTACTAAACATGAGTTAAGTTGGTCCCAAAAATTCGTCAAATTAAATTTAAAATAGTGGTTGAAAAGTGCGTTTTAAAATAGCTTAAAGAACTTTTAAAAAAAGTAATATTATCGTTGTTTTTTCAATAAGATCACAATTTATATAAGTTTTTAATACACCTGGAAATACCACAGCAAACGGTAAGTTGCAATATTCTTATTTTAAATGCAATATTTCGACAAAATAAAAAATGCATATTTTTTCCTTTCTTTTTGGGGAAAATTGGTACGTTTGTAGGGTAATTTGGAACGAGACTGGATAAATTAGGGACGAGAAAACACAAAATTGGAACGCCAAAAGACAAAATAGGGATGGCTTGTTAGGGTTGTCACTGATATCTTATAATAGATTTTTTAGCCTATACTATCACTTAATTGCGTGATGTAAAGAAGGTTAATGTGTTTATCAGTTAGTTTATGTAAGTATTATAGGTAAAAGAAAAGTATATATATAATTACTTTTTTTTCGCGACATTTACCTTGTAATATCTGCCCGGTCGTATGTTCTTTATAGCAATAAAAAAAATTAAAAGTTAAAAGAACTCAAACGAATCAAAACTTTTGTTATTTCAGAATCTATTCACGCGTCGAATCATGATTTTGTTAACATTCAAAACGCACACACAAATAAAAACAGGCCTCAGATTTTAAATGTAACATTAATTAAAAATCCGAGATATCCAATTATGAGTGAGTGAATTAATTGAGTTTAGTTATTTAGCTTAGAAAGAATTTCTTTTATTTTTGTTATTATTGGCAGTAATCAGATAAAGCTGTTTTTTTATCTTATTCACCTGATATCTTACTCTTGCTCAAAGATTATTTTGAAAATGTTGATTAAATAAAATTGTATTATTGCATTTCCAGTCCTTTTGTTTTCTATTTTTTATTCTATTTTATGATTTTGTTTCAGAGTTGTGATTTTTAAGGAAATTAAATAATAATTTTCTAAAATATAACATGCACATACTTTTTTTGATCATTGTATTGTTGATTATCATTCACGTCACATCGCTTCGGAATAGAAACCAGCTTAATTTACACTATGTTGTGTATTGTACTTAAATTATGGATTGTATACATCATTTCGGTCCATATAAATAATTATATGGCACCTACCTATATATCGCAGTACTGCGAGTTGACAACCCTTACATATATCCCAATTTAACTCTTAACCGTGTCAATTTACCCCGGACGCTGGGTAAATTGGGACGGCCATTATTTTACCGATTATTTCTTTAAAATGAATAATTAAAATAATGTAACAGTTTTTATCACCTAGGTACGTTCAAGACTCAACTTATTTCTTTGGTTGAGCAGTGACTATTTAATTGGAACTATTTTAAAATTCAATCTGAAGGTCGATTTTGTCCCTATTTACCCCATTGTACGGTATTTCCTAATTTAAAAAAAAACAGTTATGAAACACAAAATCAAAAACAGCTGATGCTCGGATCAACGAACGCCCGGGCGCGGCGTTTCTTTTACACGCACACCAGCGCGGCTCTGATACCGCGCTCCCCAAATTGTATAACTTTGTAGATACAACATTTCCGTTTTCGGAAGCGGTTTTTTAACACCCAATATACCGACCGATACGACACCGTAGCGATATAAGAAAAACGTTCGAATGGTGGTCGAACCAAAAGACATAAACGCCTTCTATTCGCTTTTGTAGGTCCCATTTGTCTGTGAGACTGCTGATCTATTTGATGGGAATTCATTGGCGGATAACAATGTTTGCGAAATTAATATATGTAGATAGATAAAGCAATACTTAGCTCGTGTTTCTGTTGATTCGTTTCTGTTTCAAAATGACTGTCAATGCAGAAGACAAAACACGATGTATAAATTCGAGAATAACACAATATTTATCAATAAAGCAACATGAAAATCGTATACAAACAAATAAACGGTGCAGTATCAAAATAATATACAATTCACTTTTGTTTTATATTGGGGTCATCAGAGAGTAAATAACTTCTTTGTGTACAGGTATGGGTGTAGGAGCGGACGCCGGCTTAGAGAAATTAGGTATATTCGTGAAGACGATCACCGACAGCGGAGCCGCGGCCAGAGACGGCCGGATACAAGTCAACGATCAAATTATAGAAGTGGACGGCAAAAGCTTGGTAATAGAAATTATAAGTATATTAGACCATTATTTTTGTGTAAGTCGTCGTGGCCTAAAGGATAAGACGTCCGGTGATTACGTATGTAGCGATGCACCGGTGTTCGAATCCCGCAGGGGGGTACCAATTTTTCTAATGAAATACGTACTTATCAAATGTTCACGATTAACTTCCACGGTGAAGGAATAACGTCGTGTAGTAAAAACCCGCAAAATTATAATTTGTGTAATTACTGGTGATAGGACCTCTTGTGAGTCACACGGATAGGTACCACCACCCTGCTTATTTCTGCCGTGAAGCAGTAATGCGTTTCGGTTTGAAGGGTGGGGCAGCCGTTGTAACTATACTGAGACCTTAGAACTCATATCTCAAGGTGGGTGGCAGAATTTACGTTGTAGATCTCTGGGCTTCGGTAACCTTAACACCGGGTGGGCTATGAGCTCGTCCACCAAAGCAATAAAAAAGAACAAATATGAACTTAATTAAAAACAATGTTTTCTTGGAATTCGCGGGATTAAAATAACAGAATAGTCTTTATTCGTTTTATTTTGTATTCAGGTTGGGGTGACGCAAGCCTACGCGGCATCGGTGCTAAGGAATACGTCGGGACCTGTGAAGTTCCTTATAGGAAGAGAAAAAGATCCAGAAAATAGTGAAGTAGCACATCTGATACGACAGTCTCTGGCCGCCGATAAAGAAAGGGAGGAAAGGTAAAAGAAAATTCGATTATTTTAATTATTAAATAAATAAATAAATGGCTGTACTGAATATTGAAGTCTAAATTATTAAATAAAGCCAGTAAGATGTAGGGCAATATTAAAGGCATAAGGTCAGATATGCGTGATTTGAAATTAGTGATCCTAATTGATCCATATAAATTAAATTGAAAGATAGTGCGTTTGTCTTTTATGCGTTCCTAAATCAATTCATTCAATTGTGATTTGATGAAAATGCGACATCAAATTTTTTTTCTTGTTTATATGGGTGGACTAGCTCACAGCCTACCTGTTGATAAGTGGTTACTAGAGCCCATAGGCATCTACAACGTAAATGCGCCATCCACCTTGAGATGAGTTCTAAGGTGTCAGTATAGTTCAAACCGTAAACGCACTACTGCTTCACGGCAGAAATAGGCGGGGTGGTGGTACCTACCCGTGCGGACTCAGGAGAGATCCTACCACCAGTTAAAGGCACATTCTATTTTAATACAAGATTTTTTTTAAATTACAGAGCGACTCGTGAACGTCAACGACGGCAGCAAGCTGAAGAGGAAGAGCCCAGTCAGCCTCCCGGCGCTGACGCCGCGCATTCAAGACATCCAGATATCAATGAGCTCAAGTCGTTTTTGCAAGAAGTAAGTGAAACAAGTATACCGTTGATAAATGCTCAATGTTACGACAAAAAAAATTTTTTATTTTTTTTTGCTAAATTAATAATATAGGTCCAATGTGTTATAAAATAATGCATGGAAATAAAAGGATTTGCAGATTCCCATCAATGATCTTTGATCTATTGAGACTAGTGGTCCCCCCGTAGTCGAATTTCGACTATAATTAATTGAAATTATAAGTTTGTACACTATTATGATTCTATTGTCAAAGATTATTATACTTCTTTAATCACAGACTTCACCAAGACTACACTTTAGACGAATATTAGTAAAGACGAACAATATTTAATCTATTATTTTTTAAAGGGATTTTATGACCTGGTAACTAAGATCTTTAAGTCATGTCTTATTTTATTATTTTTATGAAATATGATAATATGGAGTGAAATGAAATTATGAAGATGATTAATTTGAGACATTAATCAACTGGGATAAAATGAAATGAAATGAGATGATATGGGATGAAATATAATCTCAGTAAAATGGTGGTCATTTACTGAGACTTTTTCAGTGGACTTTTTGGAGGATCCAGAGAAGTTACATCCAGCGATTTTCCCACATTTCTGCACTTTTACAGATATTAAATAGTTAATAAGCCACCGTTATTACACATTTAAACCTGAAGAAACACTAAATAGAAAAAAAAAAACAAATCGCACAACTTCACTCGCGTTCCCGCCAAAAAGTCACCATATTTAATCTATTCTTAATTTGACCACAGACTATAAGCCATAAGACATTTGACAATAAACAATTATTATGCATGCGTATGTGTGTCAAATACACGGTAGCGTGTGTAATAAATTTTTTTATTGATTTAATGTATTTTTTATGCATAATTTAAAAAAATATTATTAATCTGCACTACTTCTTTATATTCTCTATAAGTGTGGAAAATTTCATACTCCTCCGGCCGCGCAATTTTCGTAAAAAGGGGTACAAAGTTTTTGCTTCACATATTAATTTATAGATATTCAAAAACTAAAGCCGCTTTCAAACTACGCTATAATATAATAGCATATAATTCATAGCACAACAATATCGCACATTATACGTTGTTATGGACACGTTCACACTGTATTGTACTACATGTATCGTCTTCTCGCATTAAAACTGTATAATCTCAAAACTTACTAATTTTACTGGAGAGTGTTTTAAAGGTTTAACATGTGATATTTTTAATAATTATCATCTTTGCAACATTTATTATTTATTTTTTACCAGTTACATTATCTGTCTTTTAAAGTAAGATAAAATTATGTATTAATTTTGTTAAAAGTAGTCAAAACATAGGTAAACTAAAAATAAACTAAAACTATGCTCTTTTGACAGTATAAATTTATGAGAAAAAATACTGGTGATACCAAATGTTTCCGCATATTAACTCAATTTCGAATATTTTAGGAAATTGTACACTTTTAATGCGAAAAGACGATATATTATTGGCTAAGTCTAGGCCGCTATACTATATGGCACTATAGTATAGCGTAGTCTGAAAGCAGCTTAACGATTAAATATATGACGTATGTGTTGTGTTCAGTTGATGGGCATGGAGGCCGGAGGCGGTGCGAGTGAGGAGATCAGCTCACGGGTGCGCGAGTGGTGCTCCCAGCGCGCGCCCGACGACCACCTGCGGAGGGCGCTGGCCGCCGCCGCCGACACCGCGCGCCGGGCGCACACCAAGTACGACAAGGTACAACCGCACTGTGTCCAGTTTTTGTCTTTTACTTACTTGGAATCTCGACTCTCAACCTACATTATTTTTAAATCCCATAAATATCTACAATACAGTTATACAAACTATACTGAGACCTTATATCTCAAGGTGGGTGGCGCATTTACGTTGTTGTTGTCCATGGACTCCGTTAACCACTTAACATCTTATCATTACATCATATAACATTTTTTTTTAAAGGGATTTTATTAACTGGTAACTAAGACCTTTAGGTCATGTCTTATTTTAATTTATATTCTTATTTTTATGAAAAATGATATGTAATATGAAGTGAAATGAAATGAAATGAGATGAGATGAAATATAATCTCAGTAAAATGGTGTTCATTTACTGAGATTTTTTCAGTAGACTTTTTGGAGGGTCCCGAGAAGTTACGTCCAGCGGTTTTGTTTCATTTTCCAACATTTGTGCACTTTCACAGATACTGAACAGTTAATAAACCACCGTTATTACACATTTAAACCTGAAGAAACACTAAATAGACAAAATAAAGTCAACGTCCATACCATGTTGAGCAGGCTTAGGGACCTCGGTAACCGTACTCGTCGAACTCGACAAAGAGTTCGCCGTGCAACCTAACCCATGAATCAGCTCGCTGAGTTTCTCGTCGGATCTTCTCAGCGGGTCGCGATTCCGATCCGGTAGTAGATTCATTCGCGAAGCAGCTACTCTTGAGCTGTTAGGTCTCCTTCGGAGGCGCTCGGGTAGCTGTTAGCAAATCCCACCCCTCCTGGCTGAGCCTTTGCTCGCCCACCTGTCCTGGTGAAACTGGAAAGGCCTCCGGGCTACCAGTAATCCTTCAATCATAAAAAAAGACAATATAAAACAAATCACACAACTTCACTCCTCGCCTTCCCGCCAAAAAGTTCCATCATACAACTAATTTGTGTGGGCAGGCGCGGCGGGCACTGCGCGAGTGGCGGCGTACGCGCGCGCTGGTCCGCGCCCGCGAGGAGTGGTGGAGCGCGGCGCTGCGGGAGGCGCACCGGGAGTACGCCGCCGCGCTCTCCGCGCTGCACGACCGCGTCGCCAGGCTCGAGGTGCTGCTGCTCGTACGTACTCTCGTGCTACTTGCTACTTAACTATGTGCTGAAGCAGTAATGCCTTTCGGCTTGAAGGGTGGAGCAGCCCTTGTAACTATATTTGAGACCTTAGAACTTATATCTCAAGATGGGTGGCGCATTTACGTCGTAGATATCTATGGGCTCCAGTAACCACTTAACACCAGGAGGGCTGTGAGCTCGTCCACCCACCTAAGAAAAAAAAAACGGTGCTTGTGCAACTTGGTGCACGTGAATGAAGTGAAACTTCTTTTTCGATATGTAGGTAGTATTGTGGTTTTCTTCATTTTTTATCCTTAAATCAGATTGCTCTTGTAATAGGGAATGCTGTGTATAAGAGATGTGACATCTTCAACATTTATATTATATATATTTTAAATTATAGATATAAAAAAAAACATGTGTGCAATTCACACGTGGTAGAAGTGAAACCTTCCAAAATTAAAATACAATTATCCTAAACGTCTTAAGTATATGTAAAATTTTGTCATTAGTAAATAATTGTAAGGTAGCGCCCTCTGTGAATTGATATTTTAATTTCATGTATAATCCTAAATTAAAATTCACTACAAGAGCTTTCATACACACGTTAGTATTAAAAAATCTCACAGATGGCGCTGTATTAAATAAATAGTATGTATATTTCTGTCTCATTCTTTGCTGGCTTCATCCTACACATTTTTGTATTTGTGTCTCTTACCTGTCGTTTTTTCCGTTGCATCCGGTTTGAAATCACGATTCTAAAGAAGTTTTCACTTCAAAAATAAATGTACATATATTTTTCAATACTTCATTAAAATATTGGACGCTACTCGTTGCTACGCGCATGAGTTGCGAGTGCCACACATTCACTCTCGCTCTGTCTCTTTCTATGCCTCCTCCCCGGGAGTGTTAAACGTTTAACGCAACCTTGTTGGAAGTCGCATTAGAAGTTTCACTTCAAAAACACTTGGAAACAAGAATAGACGAAACATACATTTTCTATCAAACAAACGTTTAATGAATGAGAGACTTATATGATCATTTTTCGAAAATTCTTCACTTTTACACTTTTTAGCGTGACATAAATGAAGAAAAGAAAAAATTGATGCATGATGCATTAATCACCTAACCCAATATAATTTAATGTCTAATTATTGCATTAAAATTTTTATTTACATCCATGTTATGCCTCTTTCTGTTTAGTTATGGTTTGTTTTGTGTCTTTTGATTTACTACGAGATACACTTGTCTGCTAAATACTTTAACTAAGATTGACTTTTATGAATGATAATCTCAGATAAATTATTAATTGATCTATTAATATCTATAGAAGGGCTATTAAAAAGTCTTAATTGATTTATTATGACTATTTAATAGCATTTCTATAATAATTATAAGTATGTTCATTCATGTTTTTGTAATTCAGACTGGAAAATTCAATTTAATTATTATACAAGAAACTAAAACGGTACTCAGTATCATTATATTTGCATTAAAAAAAATTTGAAGATTAAGGCAATTGATGGAAGTTGTGTTTGTGTGTTGATTTAAAAAAGAATAAATGTCAAAAACATGATATATCATTTATAAGGAAACCCAAAAGAAGGCTGGTCTCCCGGTTATGTTGCCGCACGAGCCGTCGGCGCGACGGGAGACGCCGCCTCTCCCACGCAGACCTGATCCGGATCCTTTACTCATCAATAGTTAGTAAATGTTTTAATTACATTAGAAATCAGCGAAGTCGGTATTGTCGATAAAGTCTTGTAACATCCACACAATAATTAGTGCATTTGTTCATATATCAAACGATTTACATGAGGCCTTATTTTGGAATATTACATCGAATGTAAACCTACTAATATAACTTGATTTCAAAATGTCTCAAAAGTTAATTACATATTCCTGGAGTACAATGTGGATAAAGTGTCATTGGAAAACAAAAGTAGTTTACGACTATAGTATGTATTAATTTAGATGAAAAATAGTATATTAATCAATTAATAATAATTTCGTCTAAAATTATTATTAAAAGACAATTACGCCTTCACAGATCCTTGGAGTTCGGATAGTGACTTGTCGGATTTGTCTCCTGTCGAAGACGAATACGCTAAAGTGGATAAGTCCGACCGGCGTCGTGAGCCGCCTGACCTCGGTGACGTCACAGCGACATCATGTGATGAACTACCAGCCAACACGGCCACCGCCGAACCTGTCGTTGTTTCGTCACCTCCGATGCCGGTCGCGTCGTCACCGCCAGCCGTGACGTCATCCAGTGCCGTGACCTCATCCAGTGTTACAACGTCCTCGCCAGGGAACGCAGTGACGGTGATTCCTCCACTGCCAGTTACAGTCACGTCTTCCTCTGTTCCTACGCCAATTCCAACGGCAACAGTAGCAGCAACGGGCGGCAGTACAGATTCTATGTGAGTATTGACACACTAATGACCGAGGTCAGAGGCTCTAATTTAATGACGAGGGTGATTATTCAGTAGAGAAAGAGTGAATGACTATTGCCAATGTTATTGTTATTATTTTGAAGTTGTCATCAGTGTTCATCTAACTGGACTGACTAGGAGATGTATGGAAATGGTAGTGCAAGGTAGAGGGGGAAGAGGTCGACCTAAGAACACATAGATGGAGTGCATGAATGACGATATGAGAGAGAGAGGAGTGAGTGTTGAGATGACGGCTGATAGAAGAGAATGAAAGAGAAAAATTAGCTGTGCCGACCCCGCCTAGTAGGTTAAGGTGGAGAAAAAGGCATCTGACTCCAAATACAAAAATAAGTAGTGTGGAGATATATACGACAAAGAGAAGATCTTCCACCAAGCGGGTGATATTGCTCGGTAGACCGACGGTCCTAATGTGGTTGTTTGAAACTTGTATATATGCAAGTCTATCTTGAAAATGTCGTAAGCGAGATGCAGGCATTTGTCAAATATCTTGTGTTTGTATGATGGCTACAGTAGTAATCATTTATGAAGTAAAATTTAATACCTAAAAACACACTTGCATATAATTGAATTAATCTATACTGATATATAAATCTACAGTGGTTTTTACGGATGTTCCGTTATAACTACTGAACCATACATCCGATTGACTTGAAACTTGGTCTCCATGTAGAAAATATGAGTGTTGGACTCCCTAATAATAATGACAATAAATATGTAATAAAGTTAATTTTAAATGGCCAGCGAATCGGGCGAGTACGGCCAGTAATGTTATTATATCTTTGTATCGTGATTGTTATGGTATTGAGTTAGATACAAGTGAAGTGTAACGTGGTGTGTGCGAGCAGGGCGCTGGACGCGGCGGTGCCCCGCGGCGCGCTGCTGGACACGTCGTGGCACCGCGCGCGCACCGACCTGGCGCGGCACCGCCACCACGCGCACTCGCCGCACTCGCAGCACTCGCTCAGCAACGCCAGCTCGGTACTGCACAACACGTCACTAACGATTGCCGTACAAACTAATGAGATTTTAGTTAAAATGTTTCTTTTTATTTATTTTTTTGCCTTTACTTGAAGTGGTCGTAGCCTAAAGGATAAGACGTCCGGTGCATTCGTATATAGCGATGCACCGGTGTTCGAATCCCACAGGCGGCTACAAATTTTTCTAATGAAATACGTACTTATCAAATGTTCACGATTGACTTCCACGGTGAAGGAATAACATCGTGTAATAAAAGTGAAACCCGTAAAATTATAATTTGCTTTATATACTGGTGGTAGGACCTCTTGTGAGTCCGCACGGGTAGGTACCACCACCACGCTGCCTCTTTCTGCCGTGAAGCAGTAATGCGTTTCGCCTTGAAGGGTGGGGCAGCCGTTGTAACTATACTGAGACCTTACAACTTGTATTTCAAGGTAGGTGGCGCATTTACGTTGTAAATGTCTATGGACTCCCGTGACCACTTAACATTAGGAGGGCCGTGACCTTGTCCACCCTCCTAAACAATAAAAAAAGTGGTGAGAAAAATATTACTTTGGTGAGAAAAATATTACTTCAATTTATCTATCATGATACTAGCATTCAACGGGTAAGACATTTACTAATTATGTGCTCTGGTAATCGCAATCCGATTGGGGTAATGAATTAACTTATAACAATCTGATTGTTGTCAATTAGTTTTATTTAAATCGTTTGTTAAGAAATAATTATGTAATGAACGGTAGTAATAGTAAATTGTTAATTTTTCGTTGACAGTACGACGGTCTAGACGACTCCTACAATGATTCTGCGGACGAGTCCCTGAGTGAGTCTACTTCGGGTGCACCGACGCACACTGGCGCTGTAAGTGACAATTCATTAGTACGTGGTGGGACTGGTGGTAGGACCTCTTGTGAGTCCGCACGGGTAAGTACCACCACCCCGCCTTATTTCTGCCGTGAGCAGTAATGTGTTTCGGTTTGAAGGGTGGGGCAGCCGTTGTAACTATAGTGAGACCTTAGAACTTATATCTCAAGGTGAGTGGCGGCATTTACGTCGTAGATGTCTATGGGCTCTGGTGACCACTTAACACCAGGTGGGCTGTGAGCTCGTCCATCTATCTAAGCAATTAAAAAAAAGCTGGTGAATCCACTTAAAATTAAACCAATAAAAATAGTTAAAATGTCGTAAAAGCGTATAATAAAGGTTGTTTGTCTTTTGTCATTGATTGATACGACTGCTTACAAATATTTTGTGCCTGAAGAATTGGGACGTGTGTCGTAATTTTGGAATCCAAAATACAACGCGAATGAGACGTAGCGTCTTTGTTTTGATGAATTTTCTTAATTTTATCGATGACAATTGTGTTCGCAGACAAGAGAAACCCGACAGAGCTGCGGCAGCTCCATAGGGAGCGCCACGGACGACGGCGTGTATTCACGCGAGCACCGGCACCACGCCCTATCAGGTACGTAAATCTTACTACCTATATAACTAATTAACATGTTTTACACGTATCCAACGATATAGACGTGGGCTGTATATGATTATCTAATACTAACAAAGACATAATATTATAATAGTAGTAGTTAAGACCGAGAACTAAGATAACACGAGACAAACAATTGGAGACATGAGTGATACAATTTGTTAATTTTGAGAAAACAGGCAACAAACTTTTGTTACTTGTACTTTTTCTTTGTACATAACTATATACTTCATTACATGCAATTTCTAAAAAGAACCTTTAAACGCGGAGTTTTAAAGTCTAATATGGTTTATAGGCACATAACACCTTCATTCAATGTAAAAATTAAAAAATCTTTTAAATGGTACTTAACCCCTTCATTCATTCATGTCTTCGATTGTCAAACAAATTGTGTTAACGATAAGGCAAGTAAATAAAAAAAAAAAATGATTTTTTCAAATGTTTCAAATAAATACAGCACACGTTTATAGAGTTGAAGAGGCTTTATCATTGTTGTGTTTAACTACGCGTCTGTTTCCTCACATTGGCTAGCTTAAGTAACCACACAGTGCCTCAGTGTAGTGCAGGAGTTCACCGGACAATGTATTTGTGTTTTATGTTTGTGGTAACAATCGAGAAGCAATCTTCACTACCTTCAGTGTACGTTTTTAATATTCACTTAGGCCCTTTTGTATTCTGTAAATTCATTATACTATATATTATGAATTTATTATAATATATAATAATATATATTCATCCTATGGTATATAGGTGTCAGTTTGCTAATACTGTTGGTGTATCCACCAGATGTTTACCAATGACTTTTATGTAGCAAATAGCAATTATTTCAAACCAAAAAAAAATCACAATGAACGAGGGTAGTTGACCGGTATTGTATGTTATTCGATTCATTGAATTGTGCAAAATAATTACAATGAAAATTAAATATGTCATTATGTGATGTATAAACGTAAATGCTTGTATTTCAAAAATATTTAAAAAAATAGTGTTATACGGCAAAAAAAAAATTTGGAAGGATTAGGAATTGACGTAGTACTTTTCATTTTCCGTAAATTGATTATTTCAAAGAGTTTATATAGCTTTATATTTTTTTGACAGATTAAAAATGAAAATTCTTTGATCGACTCCATGAACTATTTAACTTTTTATAATAAATCTACAAAAGTTTAGTCAGTTATAAACGCAATTCTTAACAAGTTCTTACACGATTTTAATATAATAATGAGTTCACGTTATTGCGGTGCTATTGCAAGCGTCTTGATTACGGACAGACTGCGGGTAGGTTGTTAAGGGCCGATAATCTGTCTATCCTCTTTCTAGTCCAATTTTGGATTGGAACTTGATAACTATGTATGTAAGTTACGGTAAGGCACATGTAACCAGTCATATATTAGTTACTAGCGACCCGCCCTCGCTTTGCTTCGGAAACTGTAATTTATTATTGATTTCTCCACTATTTATGGATGTTATTATACATATAAACCTTCCTCTTCAATCACTCTAAAACCGCATCAAAATCCGTTGCGTAGTTTTAAAGATTTCAGCATACATAGGGATATAGGGACAGAAAAAGCGACTTTGTTTTATACTATGTAGTGATAAGGGCAAGACCGCTGTCAATACAAACCAACCAAGACTTTGGGGCCTTGTGTATATTGCTACCGATAATTGTTCGACGCCATGTGAGGCGTTGTGAGGGATGAGTTCGTCCGGCGATCTCCGTAAACAATACCCGTCTACGTACGGGCGGCGCAGGACCGGCGGCGTCTCTGGCGGAGCAGCTGAAGCAAGTGCTGGCGGAGCGGGAGCGGCGCCTCGCCGTGTCCTCGCCGCCCGACCCCGTGCGACTCACCAACGAGCTCGTCGACGAGATCCGCCAGGCCGTCAGCGAGGCCAACGCCAGAGGTGCCCACAGACGCACACACACACACACACCGCCATCACGCATACTTACCAGACCACACACATGTCTGTCTCGACGCTTATATAATTCCTTTACTGGCGGTAGGACCTCTTGTGAGTCCCCACGGGTAGGTACTACCACCCTGCCTATTTCTGCCGTGAAGCAGTGATGCGTTTCGGTTTGAAGGGTGGGGCAGCCGTTGTAACTACTGAGACCTTAGAACTCATATCTCAAAGTGGGTTGCGTTATTTTCGTTGTAGATTTTTATGGGCTCCGGTAATCACTTAACACCAGGTGGGCTGTGAGCTCGTCCATCTATGTAATAAAAACAATAAAAAATATAAGGTCGGTAATTACGCTTTGTATCTATTTACTTCAAAATTTATAAACATCACACTTAGAACAAAAGCATAGATTAGTCGAATTTAATTAAACACTATATTCAGCCTAAAGGTATCGTTTTTGAGATATTTGCCGATCTTAATATTATTCATTGAAACGTCACATATCCTCCAAAACATTTCTCTTCCATGCAGAGTAGTTTTGTTGCGTACTAACTGTATCTATTTATTGTGGGTGCTTAATAATATTGGGTGTTGCTTGCTATATGTTTCGGGAGTGGTTCTGTCAATTAATATAAAATTATCAATTACAATAAAAATAATTCTCTTTTAAATTTTTTAAATCTCCGCCAACAAACGAGCTAAGTACAGCTAAATAAAGAAATTGCTTTACTAAATATCTTTTATCAAATAAATATAATTAGCTCGATATACTCACTTGTGAAGGATTTAAATTAGACGAGTCAATGAAATTAGTCAAATATAAAAGAAAGTGAGAGTTGAGCATCATTGGGTTGTGGTTGTAGTGAAGAAAGCTCCGGCTTGTGTAGTCGGCGGCGAGGTGCCGTGGCAGCCGCTGTCCAGCGCCGTCTCCGAGTCCAGCCTCGTGCCGCCGCCGCAACAACACGCCGTCAACCTGTGGACCAAACAACAGGTACTGCACTCACGCAAACACATACACACATACACACGCACGCACGCGCGCACGTACGCACGCACACACATGCACACGCACGCACACACACACATGCACACGCACGCACATACATACATGCACACGCACGCACACAAACGCACGTTCACGCACAATTGAAATCGCATTTATTTATTTATAATCAATGTCCATACCCATGGCCAACGGTTACTGCTTCATAAATAGGTATACCATGAGATTCCCCATATCCTATCATTTCAATTCCTCTGAAAGAATTTGTCGATTATACTTTAATTAGGAAAATGTATCACAGAGTACTACTAAATGTCTTTTGTGCAGTTATATCAGCAATCATAGGTACATAATGTGCAGAGGGGTTTGTCGATCTTAGTCACAGTGGCTGCAGACTGGACCAGTGTGCTAGCGTTTAAACGTAGAGGTGCTGTTCCACACAAATTTGCGTTAACTATACGCGATCGAGAAATTAAAAAACTCGCACTAAGCAGACAATTCCAAAACTCATCCGTAATTAGATGACTTAATATTAGGATTTTTATAGTACATATATGAATCTATATCTATACTAATATTATAAAGAGGAAAGATTTGTTTGTTTGTTTGTTTCGAATAGGCTCCGAAACTACTGGAGCGATTTGAAAAATTATTTTTCCATTAGAAGCCAACATTGTCCCTGATAAACATAGGCTACTTTTTTAATTATTTATTTTATATTTTTTTTTTGGTTTCATTTGTGTTTTAATGTTTCCGAAGCGAAGCGAGGGCGGGTCGCTAGTAATTAAATACTTTTACTGCACGACAGAGATTTCCTTAATTATTAGAAAACTTGATCTTCATTTTCTTTCATCAATTTTTATCTTATTAATACTTGATTTCTAAACACTATCAAGTATATTTAATGAAAGTTTTAAGAAGGACTTAGAATTTTTCTTTGTACGACGAATCCATGTCACTGTACAAGCTGTAATAGTACATTGTGCACACCAAGGGAGAAATGTCCAAATTTTCTCCCGCGGTGCGCATACTATTTTTTCTCCTACCAGGCCGAAAGTTCGTGGAGTACCGAGCCGTGGTCCAGGACGAAGCCCTGCCCGGGGGTAGGGGGGACGGTGCTCCCCCTGTACTCATGAAAAAAACAATTTAACTATTTTTAATTTTTTTTATAAACTACTACTAATTGAATAAGAACTGTCTGATGACCTCATCTTTGTTTAATACTTCACTATTAAATTTTATTGCCTTTTGTTTATTTCACTTTTACACTAAACACAATATTGCAAATTACCCGAGCACAACAATGGTGGAGAATTTTAGGTGCGTGTGAGCAGACGTAGACACTAACGCGCATGCGCACTTGTACCCAGGCAGAAAAGGTTATACTTTCTTCCCTGTACAGCGGGACGAAAACCGAACCTTCGGCGTAGGTAGGAGAAAAAATTAATTTTCAATACTAAAAAGACTCGTTAAAATTTTATCGACGGATCCATATCACTGTAGAAATTGTAACATTCATTGTTAATATTAAAAAGACTTGAAAAGAATTTGAAATAATTGTGAGTAATTTCAGAATGGTTCTTAAAATATTTTAGGTGTGGCACTGGGTGTCAGGGCTGGGGGAGGGGTTGGAGCGTCACGCTGGCGCGTTCGCCGCCCGCGGCGTGGACGGCGCCTTACTACTGGCGCTCAGCTCCGCCGACCTCAAGCTGCTGGGCCTGCCCAGGGACGAGCGGCGCCGCATGAAACGACGACTCAAAGAACTACGAGCCGCGCACGAGAAGCACCTCAAGGCGCTCAAGAAGGCCGAGAAAAAAGCCAAGAAGAAGTAGCTTCACCGCTCGTCTGCCAAAGAAACGCCCGGTTCGCGCCACTCTTGCGGGACGATGTACCTTTTGTTAAGTTCCTCGCCCCGATTTCTATTTCCTTGTCTGTTGGTAATGCACAAATTGTTTTGCCTAGTTTCTTATTACTTTGTTTGTCGCAATCGGGCACACGAACTGTACCTGTTTGTAAATTTAACGTAATTTTTACAGTAAATTATAAAAATGTACGCGCTACGATTTCGGAATACTCTGTTTTGATTTCGGGACTCAATACTATTTTCTTATTATGTAACGCTGTTTCTTGCCTTGTTCTAAATTTCTTCATATACATTGAATTGAGTACCGAAAGTAGGTATATTGAGTTCAAAAGTATTTAGAAAATAAATACACCTGTAAAGTGTTCACCTGCGAACCTCGACCGCGACGACGCCCGACGGTAGGCTTGAGCTGTGTCTGATAGCGTACGAGTGCCATCTGACCCATAGCTTAGAGTTTAGTGACTTTAGTCCAGCTTCAAACGAAACAAAACGAAACGTATTTATCGAAAACTTAGACCTAAGATAATAATGAAACTTAAACGATTCACTGATTGAATTATTTTTCAGAACTTTATTGGATTTAACCGAGTAATAAAATTATCTCCATTGTTCCTAAAATTTTTGTATCAATTGCGTCAGTTTTTCGTGAAGTTCTTAGTGAATTAAAGGACTATTTAAAAATACTGGCTCAATCTAGTCATAAGTATGAATTAGCTCTTTGAAGTCAAATATTATAAAAATAATAATTTCTTAGTAATTTCAAATATAGGAATTAGGATAAATTTACTCGTGCGAAAATATCGATCGCGACTACGTATTAATTAACGANTTTTGTATCAATTGCGTCAGTTTTTCGTGAAGTTCTTAGTGAATTAAAGGACTATTTAAAAATACTGGCTCAATCTAGTCATAAGTATGAATTAGCTCTTTGAAGTCAAATATTATAAAAATAATAATTTCTTAGTAATTTCAAATATAGGAATTAGGATAAATTTACTCGTGCGAAAATATCGATCGCGACTACGTATTAATTAACGAGATTGTATTAGATATCGTTTATATACATTTATTTGAATCAAGGACCGCAACTCAATTCTGGTGACTTCGCATTTATTTATATTATTACTGCACAAATTGTACTTAGAAAATGGTGACTGATGTGATTTCCTGTGTTGCTAATGATCTAGAATATTTAAATGTGTAGTGAAAACGAAAATAATAATTCGTCGAACGTGATCTCATTTCATGCAAGAACACCCGACTTATTCTTTCATGTTCTTTTAAGCAGTATTTATTTACCAGAAATCGAAGTGATCGAGATTCTTATGAGATGCCATCAATATTATATTACATTCCATAATTATTTCTGTGTGAGATTTGTATGGTTTAGACTTGCTTTATAGTTTAATTAGGCGACAAGATTATGATTTGTCTAAATCCAAATCTGTATATCCAAGTGTGTGTTTGGTTCCGTAGTTTACATATAATTTTAATGTAAATAATAGTGTTGAATTCGAATTGGAGACTGTGGTGAGCTTGGAGAGTTTTGTGCGACTGAATGTACCCTGTACATTTAGAATATTTATTTCAGTTAAGATTTAACAATAAATGTAAGTAGTCCATTAACGATTGCCAAAATTGATCAGTACTTTTTTTTTGTTTAAATGTTGTTGTTTTTTATACTTTACATTTTCCTTAAATTATTTTTATATTTATTTCGGGACCAAATTAATTTATTACAAACTTTATTAATTTATGTATTTGGATGTGTGTTCAGAAGAAAGATTTTTATTTACGATTTAATTAATTTAATAAACAAACCAAAGTCTTCGATTTACGTTTATTTTATTTTACCCTCTCTAATATTGTTAAGGAGTGAAAAAAATTTGGTTATATTTATTTCTAAGATAACATGGTTTTGAGTAGCTGTCCTTTTATTTTTGTAAATGTGGTTGTGACTACCCAACCTGCAGATTTAATGGTAGTGCTGCACCGTGTAGCCATAGTCCAATACATAATACTGTATAGTAACATTGGAAAATCTATCAATTACAACGAAAATTATATTTAAAACAAACATAAAAAAACCGCTTTCGTGGCAAAAACGCAGGATGAGATGTCCTAATTTTTTCCCGCAGTGCACATATAATTTTTTCTCCTACCAGGCCGAAGATTCGTGGAGTACTGAGCCGGGGACCAGGGGCGAAGCCCGGGGGGGGAAGGGTAGAGGGGGCGGAGCCCCTCGTACTCATAAAAAAAACAATTGACCTCTTTTTGAAGTGAAACTTCTTTAAACGCATGAGGGTAAAATTTTTACAGATGTAACGTTACGCAGGTATGCAACGGAAGAGTCGAAAATTTTTAATACAGCGCCATCTATGAGAATTTTTAATACTAACATGCATATGAAACCTCTTGTCTTGTCTTGAAATGTATGGGAACTTGAGTAACTAAAATATTCATTTTTATCATATTTCTTTATTATGTGTTTGTTTTTTTAGGTTTTTTATTTCTTTTGCGTTTTTTGACCTTTTTTGGTGGTTGTGGGTTTAATTCTTTATTATTTTCATTATCATCATAGCTAATTGTTACATAAGCTCCAGGCATTCTTTTTCTTTTTTGTTCTGGTGGCCTGATTTCATCATCATCATTTGAGTTTTCAGAGAGCTGCTCTTCGTTAGCTTCTGTATTTTCTTGTTCATTATCAGATGCCTCTTCTTTTTTAATGAGATGGTTTTGTCTGTTCAATGCCATGCAAGTAACTCTGCAGGCAGCATTGACAGAGCAAATTTCACTTAGCTTTGAATCACTCACAAACCAAACTTTTATTTCACCAGAACTTGAAGCAGAGTACATCATGCTGTTTTCATAATATATGCACTTAACCCTTTGCTTATGACCTTGATAAGTTACTGCTTTATCTGCATTGGATATAGTCAAGCTTACTATATTGCCATTGTCTAAACCTACTAATATTCTTTTATCATCTATCCACTGTACTGTGGCAGGTCTTGATTTAAATGAAATGCGTTTTTCTAAGCCCGCCTTTTCTAAGGTCCAGATATCAACTGCTTGTTGTGAAACTAAGGAGAATCTTGTACCGTCTGGTGAAAATTTTATTTCTGTTGGCAGCAATACACCTTTACTAGCCAAGTTCACTGTAAAGGCTGGACGTCCTTTGACTAAATTCCATGTTCTTAATGTTTTGTCACCACCAATAGTTAGAGCTAGTTTATCAGATGGATGAATTGTTATATCTACAACAGGCTGACCTGGAATATAGAAATTGGCATATAATTATTTTATTATTATTTAGTCAATTTAAAACTCAAAGAATATTACAATTATATTTTTTTATTTGACACTTCAACGTTTTCAAGCTATAATAAAATTAAAAAAACTATAGCAAACCATATTATATTTAATAAAATCGTTTTTAGATACGATGAGCCAGTACTATTGTTTAAAAATACTTAAATACCGATTTTTATAAATACCTCCATGTGCTTTTTTCCATATTTTTTCTATTTGCCAGTTGCCAGTTCTTGTAACTATAATAGATCCATCATCACTGCCGCTGAGTAAATGAGTACCATTATTTGTAAAGGCCACTGCATTTACAGTGCCATCGTGATTCATTAAAACAGTGTGTTCTTTTCGAGTCTTCATGTCTAAGATAACTACTTTATCATCTGTCCCACCTGATGCAAGAAATTTACCCGCTATGGAGATGCATCTAACTGATGCAGTGTGTGAATGGGTCGCAAATGTTTGTTTAATTTTTTTTTCCTGTAAAAGAGAATATGAAAAATTTCATTAATAAAAATCCAACTTTTCAGATATGTATTTTACACTAGTAATCACTTACTGTTTCCACTGAAAAGATTGAATAGCCAGATAAAAACCCTTCATAAGTACCAACAACTACCTCGTCCATGGTTAAAATTACTATAGAAATTCCAAATATTTTTATTTTCTAACTTTTTCGTCATGTGCGAACTGCATGTGCATATCTAATTTTTTTAAGATATTTTATGACCTGGTAACTAAGACCTTTAGTCAAGTCTTATTTTAATTTACTATTCTTAGTTTTAAGAAAAATGATAATATGAAGTGAAATGAAATGAGATGAGACAATACGGTGTGAAATGTAATCTCAGTAAAATGGTGGTCATTTACTGAGATTTTTTCAGTGGACTTTTTGGAGGATTTCGAGAAGCTACGTTCACCGGTTTTGTTTGATTTTCCCACATTTGTGCACTTTCGCAGATACTAAACAGTTAATAAACCACCGTTTTTACGCATTTAAACCTGAAGAAACACTAAATAGACAAATAAAACAAATCACATAACTTCACTCCTCGCGTTCCCGACATAAATTTATATGTACATAGATAATACCTACACATAATATATCTCGAGATACCGTACTTGCAACAGAAACATAAATTGCTTTTTGTTTGATTTCCCAATTGGATTTGAGTCGTCTATTATCAAAGGTGGCAATCTGTGCATTTGGACAAAAAAATGTTATTGATATGTCAATACAGATTGATTTGAATATAATCGTCTCCTTCAAGAATACGGTTCAAAACCTGCATTAAATAAAGGTTAATACTTAACCTGTTATTTATCTAAGATGTCGTTCAGAAGAGTTTTGTGACTGCCAATGGAATACAAAGTCAATAATTCGTTTTTCTGATTTACCAATAATTGTCCAAAAGTCACATTGCCGGCTTTGATAATAGTAGACTCATATGCCAAAGTAGCAACTAGTACAGCCCAATATTTTATGAGAAAAGTCGAAACCATGACTATTGCATTAAAAAATAAATGAAACAGAATAAAATGAAAATGATGAGGGAAATGGAATTATTGGAAATGGAAAAAAACTAAATGAAATTATTTTAAGAAAGGTGAAGAAATAAAATACCATACTACAATACAGTTTTTATTTCGTTTTATATGATCCGAGTTTATTGTATCTTTCTTGGTTTATGACTTTCTTAAACTAGCAATTCGGCTGATTAGTGTAGTTGAAAGTCAATTGACTGTTAAAAAACCTTTGATTAGAAGGTTAAATCATTTTATTTATTAATTATTTTAAATTGTGGCGGATATTTTCATTGTTAAATTATGATTCTTGATAACCATTCATAATAGAACTTAAAATATTCATGCGAAAGAATATTGTTAGGACACGTATTAAGTGTTTATAGGTCAATGACTTTTATATTATAGACAAGAACAATAAAAATCTTCCTAAGATTATATTTTAGAGCGTTATTTTATCATGCGAGATTTGAAAGTTATTTATTGCCCATTGCGATTGTTTACATTGCGAAGTACTGGAAACTCGTGGACTACTCTTGTTTTCGAATATTTGAGATGAAAACTATTTGATGAATTATCATTGTAGACATAATTTTGCATGTCATTTTTTATCATACGAGTGCAAATCAATTTGAATAATTTTGAGTACAAGATTTTCCACTCAAGGCCAGTGATTTATATTTTACAACGTTCAGTATGTAAAGACATTAATGACATGCGAGTGAGATAATACTTACACGAAGAAATTATTTTCTTGGGATTTCGTGAGTCCTACACTATTTAAGCGTTTCGTATATTTTACTGCTTTCATGGTCACGGAAATATACATTAAGCCTAATATAAAGCTTAATTATGTGAATTATGTGAATAGCTATGTAGATCACCATTTTCTCTATTGACTTTTTTAATGCTTTCAATGATCTTTCAAACTGTACGCAGAACTGTTGTAGCACTGTCTGGATTGGATTATCTTGCCTTTTTCAGACTAGTGTGATCAGGATTCAAAATAGGAATACTTTCGAGTAATAAACATGAAACCCAAAAATAATAGGCGATAGGGCCTCCGCCGAGCCGGCATGGTAGGTACTACTAGGTTAACTAAGGATTCCAATTACCATTTAAAATCAGTTGAGCCATAAGCTCGTTTTTCTGTCAAAGTGCAAAAAAGCAACACTCGTTTTGACATGTAAACTGAATAAATATAATTGGTTCTATACGGCGAAATGAAACGAAGATCAATTTTAATGTATAATTGTACTTTAATCACTGAAGTATGAAATCTAGCTTTAATGCAATAAGTAGTTTGTATCGCGAAGTAACTGGATGAAACTGACAGATTTTCATCTGTCAGCCACTTTACTGTCAAGCTGCCTTACCGTGACAGCCCGACTACAGACAGCGTCAAGAAAGGAAAGAATTAAAGCTATACAACTAAAATCTTATTAGAATTGGGAAATTTAATGGATAAATCAAAGTTCTGTTATTAGTTGTGGTTTCTATTATTATTGTAAATTTGAGCAAAGTTACAATTATCATTCTGGTAAATAAATAAATCGTTTTAAATCTTTTGTGATGGCTTCGTAGCAATGCTTGATTCTATCGATCTCCCCATGCGAAGTTATTTGTTTGCTTATTTTCTTCTAAGGATTCCCAAAAGAGGACATACTTAGACATCTACAAGATGGATTTAGCGGAAACGATGAAGAGTGTATTAGCGAAGAGTTCGGGTGGATCCAGTGGGGCGCCAAGTACATCATCGACAACGGCGACAACGCACGGTGCTGAGGGCTATGTTACTGAAAAATTATACATGTTGTTGCAACTTTACCTACAGAACAAAGGTTGGAGTCCTAGCATCGAATTACTGCAATGTTTCAGTGACCTTAAGGAGTCATCCATGTTACCAAGTGCAGCTTATTTACAGTAAGTGTATAAAATAACTGAAACATTTTTTTATTTAGTTAATATATTGTAACTGGCCCAACTGTCTCACTGGCTACTGACCTTGCCAATCAAGGCCAGCTATAAGTAGCCAGTTGAGTGATTGAGCGATTTGACTGTGACAGTGTTTGAAACTCACAAACAGGTATCAATTTTTGTAATAAAATATGTAACCAATAATGAAAGACTAAACAGTGTGTAATAAAATTTAAACCTGATGTAAATTCTAATTTGAGCAATTACTGGTTGGCAGGAGGTTTTATGATCTGCATGGGTAGTTACCTCAATCACTATTTCAGCCATTAAGCAGTAATACATTTTGGTTTAAAGGATGGGGTGGTTGTTGCACTATATAACTGGGACTTGGAACTCATGTCTTAAGGTGGGTGACACCTTATATTTTGTTGATATAGGCTCTGGTAACTGCTTGAAACTAGAAGGGGCTGTGAACCTGTACACCCATTTAAGCAATAAAAAATACTTCAACCCTTGCAACACACCTCCCAATGTCAACAATACTGGGTATTTATAAGATGATAGTATTATTTATTTTTATGTCTATTTAATTGAAGTTTTTATTATTCTGTTAGGAAATAGAAAATTAATATAAACTCATAAAAAACTCATTTATTTAGATTTTCTTAACTAAAATTATTTGTTTTAAGAATGATGGCATCAAGGGTTGGCTTAGACACGCAGGGTAGACTGATTCTTCGTGAGAACGGAAAGATAATTCTCCCATATGAGCATTTTGCTAATGCTGTAATGCTAAAGCACATGAATGGTCCACATGGATTGCATTTAGGTCTTGAAGCAACAGTCAGAGCAGTGAGTATTTTTCAAAATTAACAGAATATCTTTTACTTTAATCATGTCTGTTTATTTTATTATCATCTTAGTAACTAACTGTTTGTCCGCACGGGTAGGTACCACCACTCTGCTTGTTTCTGCAGTGAAGCAATAATGCATTTTGGTTTGAAGGATGGGTCAGCCATGTTAAAATGGGACCTTAGAACTTATGTCTCAAGGTAGGCGGGGGTGGGCTCTGGTAACCACTTAAAATCAGGTGGGCCATGAGCTCGTCGACCCTAGATAGGTGGGTAGCAATAATAATAAATTATTATATCAGAAGTAAAGGCAATGTGAGCCTAGACTTCTTGAGTTGCTACTAATATTTAGTTATTCTCTCTATAGTATATTTTTTTAATTTCTTTAGTTTGTATTATCTGTAAACATAACTATAAGCAAATATGCTTTCAGAAAATAAAAAAAAATTAAGAAATTACTGGGTGTTAAGTGTTTATTGGAGCCCATAATTATTAGAACATAAATGCTGCCATCCATCTTGAGTCATGATGTGAAAGTCTCACTTATTTGTATAATGGCTGTGCCACCCTTTAAACCCGCATACATTGGATGACTATTTTGTGGCAGAAATGGGCAAGATGATGTTAGATTTTAAATTAATTGAATGGTCCAATCTTTTGTATGTCATTTTCATTTCTTTGAATATTTCACAGATATCATGGTCACTAATGATTAAGGTGCTAAATCCAACACTATATTGTCATGTTCTAGATCATAAGAATAACAAACAAAAAAATGTTTATTAAGATATTCTTTTGTGTACACCAAAAAATAACTAAAAGAACCTTGAGATCTGGCAGTTTGACTTAGGTTTTTATCTCCTAAAAATCTGCATCTTTGACGTTTTATCCATACTCCAATTTCAGGTTGTAGAGTCATATACTATAGGAAGAGAGCAATTTGGTATGGAGAAGGAATTCATTGTTGAAGTTGTGCAGAACTGCCCTAACCCTGCATGTAGATATTACAAGAACCAATTAGAAATGACACAGAAGTCTATACAGCAACATTTATCACAGCAGCCCACTTATATTCCTGGTAAGTAATTCTTAAAAAATGTGCTTCATTTAATGCTAACACAATGTAAGGATTCATGTTAATATAACTTTTTCATAAATATCTAATTCAAATGAATAAATTAGTAAAACACTGGGAATTTCTCATACAAGTAGGTTTAATTATTGTAGATCTAATCAAGCTAGTGCCTCATTAGTATTGAGAATTAAATAAATGAGTGCTGTTCAGCTTTCGTAACATTCATGAAAATTAAATAACAGAAATTCATATTAGGTATACCTCATGTAGGTATCTGATGAAAGGAAGATGTTCCAGCGAGCAGGTGATATTGCTCGGTAGACCGACAGTCCAAATGTTGTTGTTCGGAACTTGTATATGTGCAAGCTTACCTTAAAATTTCAATACACGTCTAGACTAAGACTAGTATTCAAGGTTTGGATATGATAAAGAGATCTTTTTGCCAGATTCAGGATCATCTAACTTATCAGAGAGTCAGGCAGTAGAGCGGTTGTTGCGTGGAAGCGCACTCGCGCAGGACTACCAACTACCGCTCGCGCCGCATCTCGCCGCTCTCAGTGAGTTGCTCTGTAAAAATCGTTAATCGATTGATGTAGACTTTGAGTAGAATGTTTGAATTAGTTCTAAAATTAGTGTTAATAATAATTATAGCATTATATATTATTATATAGCGCCGAAATAGGTAAGATTAAATGCTGGTTCTATAAGGTCTATACATAAATTCCTGTCCAAATACCGGAGGCAGAGCCAATTTTTAAAGTCATTAACAATAACATACATGACCCATGCTATAAATAAAAAATCATAAAAAAAATTGCATGTGTAATTAACGTTTCACATTCTGCTTATATAAGACATTCATGCGTAGTAGGAGCTCACACCCCCGATTACTCTCTTTAGACAACCCATACCCTGGGCCAGGAAGGTCAAGTACCTGGGCGTTACCCTGGATGCATCGATGACATTCCGCCCGCATATAAAATCAGTCCGTGACCGTGCCGCGTTTATTCTCGGTAGACTCTACCCCATGATCTGTAAGCGGAGTAAAATGTCCCTTCGGAACAAGGTGACACNATAAAATCTTTAACATGTAGCTAACTAAGTTAATAACTATTGTAGAAAAGTAAAATTAGAAAATGATAATAGTAATAAAGCTATAACAATTCCATTTAAATATGTCAAATTAAAAACAATACCAATAAAATATATTTGAATGATAACAATAATAATCCAAAATAACTAAAAATCATGTCAATAAAATCAATTTTGCAAATTAAAAAAATAAAATTTAAACTAATTTTGTAAAATTTTACATCAATATTGACTTAATTATTCTTTAAATAAAGAAAAAACAATAAAAAAAATACAAAAATAGAAAACGACATTTAGACGACATAAACCATGGGCTCGAACGCGGTAACTCCTGCACTGCGTACTTGATTTCATAGTTCACACCGCTAGACCAGGCGTATTGCTTGCACATGAAGTGAATGTTCCTATGATATTGATATTTCTTAGTAAAGTATTCCTTTGACAATAATATTTTTTTCTTGATCGACGGTATCTTGTAGTCAAATGTAATGCTGCACACAAGCCACCCCGTTATTAGGAAGATGGATGTGTGATTTACGGGGACACTTGATAGCTACAAAACACCCAAATTGCTGCCAAGTTCAGATTCTTCTGCCGCATTGATATCGTAAACACTTCACTTCACTAGTTGTAACGTAAACAACACACAGCTGTTAATCAGCTGATTTGTACGTAAGGTTGACGAAACGTTTCTTTCTTACGAAACACCCTTATATTTATCTTCTGTCACCGAAAACACTTGTACTGTATATTTAGGACAGGTACAATGAATTTTAGTGATTATATTTACAAAATCACAGGTTTACAATTTTTAAAAGCTAATTTATGTACGAGCGATGTTTACGCGGGCAATGTTGCCAACCCACCCCTGTTACTTCTAAAATTAGTGTTAATAATAATTATAGCATTATATATTATTATATAGCGCCGAAATAGGTAAGATTAAATGCTGGTTCTATAAGGTCTATACATAAATTCCTGTCCAAATACCGGAGGCAGAGCCAATTTTTAAAGTCATTAACAATAATATACATGAACCATGCTATAAATAAAAAATCATAAAAAAAATTGCATGTGTAATTAACGTTTCACATTCTGCTTATATAAGACATTCATGCGTAGTAGGAGCTCAATAAAAATTTAATAAGAATGAATTGTAGTAGCAATTAGTTTGGATGCTCGTTAACTATTATCATAAATTAGCCGCTTAGACATAAATGTTATAATAAATCAAAGATATTTTGTAAATTTTAAATTTTGATACCATTTGAACCTATTTATTTCTTATTTACAACTATTGGATTTTTTTTTTGCATTTCAGTATGCGATAAACTGATAAAGTGTTCACTTCTTTAAATAAGGAATTCCTTTTGTAGCCAACCTAACAGCTGAAAAAAGTGATCGTCGTGCTCAGGAGAAGTTATCACAGCATCAGCAAATGTTACTCCAGCATCAGAATAGAAACCTTGGCCATCAGTCATCCATCGACAAATACACTCATTCACAGCAGCGTTCTTCAAGCTCCTCGCAATCGGGTCTCGACTCCAAGTCTAAGCATCATTATACTGATGAACACAAACTCACTGATTTCTTGAGGTACATGCAATGTAATATTTTTTTAGAAGTATTTTTTTATAGCACAGTATTAAAGTAGTAGTGGGACAAACAGCACAATATGCCTAAATTAAAAAGTTATTAAGTATAACAAGAATCAAACATTTTTTACCGTTGACGAAATTGATATAATAATTGATTCATCTAACATTAATTTAAATTTTAAAATCACAACCAGCAGGATAATTATAACAAAAAAATCGAAAGAAAATACATAATTAATAAACGAACCAACCTTAGGTGTTTAGGTCTAAAATCCTATCACCCATTTACTCCCCCGGGATGACTTCGGATATTTTGATTCCTCGACTTTAACCAATTTCACCTTGCGTTATATTATAACTTCATGGGGAATCCCCGAAATTTATATTTAGCGATTTTGTTTTGCCGTCATAGTCTTTGTTGAATTTCAGAGCAAATTTAGAGACGTTAGAGTCTCTGTCTGGCGGCAGCGGAGCGGGCGCGAGTGTTGGTGCAGCGGTGGGTGCGGGGGCGGGGTCTGGGGCGGGGGGCGGTGGTGGGGGCCAGGAGCGGGTGGTGCGCGCCTTCGCCGAGCTCGCACGTAACCTGCAGCGCATGCGGCCCTGTGTAAGACCCGCCATGTGCAAGCCCTACGGGAAACAGAGTGAGCAGCTACAGAAAAGTACGTACAGGTTGCTTCAACATTTACTTGGCTAGTACCCCAGTAGTCGAAATTCGAGTATAATTAATAAAAATTATAAGTTTGAACATTATTATGGTTCTATTGTCAAAAACTATTTATTATACTACTATAATCACATATTTCGCCATGGCTACACTACAGACAAATAATATTAAAGACAAACAACAATAATATATTCCCAATTTGACCACAGACTTTAACAACAAACAAAAGAGTATTATATATCAGTTTGTGTGTCAAATATATAGTAGTGTGTATCATGTTTTTTTTTATTGATTTAATGTATTTTATATCCATAATTTAAAAAAAAATAGCATTCTGCACTCCTTCTCTATATAAACTATAAGTGTGAAAAATTTCATATTCCTTCGTCCGCGCAGTTTTCGTAAAAAGCGGTACAAAGTTTTTGCTTCACGTATTAATATAGAGATATGCTGCGGTTTGAAGCGCCTTCCAATTAAAGTGGATTATAATCAAACGACCAAAATTGGAAAGGAAAGTTTGAGCGTAGCAGTGTTGATGAGTTCCTCTAAGCATTTAACAAAAGACGTGATCTTGTCCACCGTTTGTAGTCGATTGCAGATTTCTTTGAATTTAGTAAGATTTATGTATTTAAAATAATAATAAATTAGTTGAGGATCGGCATTAAAGGTCTCCTGGAACCTGTGAGTGTTCTGCAATTTTTGATATACATTGCGGGTTTCGGACAGGCTCTTAATAAAATGAAATAATGAAAACCAAAAATTTCGAAATATATTTAATTTCATTAAAAAATTATTATTTTTATATATATATATTTTCATATTTATATTTATTTATTTTATATTATATTTTTTTATTTAATTAAATAATTTTTTTTACAGTACTGTTAGACACTATTCAGTTGGTGCAGTCGCTGCGTAGTTATTTGCCGCCGCCACACATTCAAGTTACATCGTGGAAGAATGACGACAAATTGCGGTGAGTATAAGTATAACATATAATAAGTATGTATTCCGAAACGTCGGAAATAATATAATGACAATAAAAACACTTGATTAAATCGTCGCAGTTTTTTTTTTAAATTGTTTATATGGGTGGACGAGCTCACAGCCCACCTAGTGTTAAGTGGTTATTGGAGCCCATAGATATCTACAACGTAAATGCGCCACCCACTTTGAGATATAAGTTCTAAGGTGTCAGTATAGTTACAACGGCTGCCTCACCCTTCAAACTGAAACGCATTACTGCTTCACGGCAGAAATAGGCGGGGTGGTAGTACCTACCCGTGCGGTCTTACAAGAGGTCCTTCTTACCACCAGTACAAAAGTTTTAATAATCGATTTTCTATTTGTATCAGCTCTAACAATATGGACGAACTGGAGAGCCGTAAGATAGTTAGCGGCAACTAGCGTACGGACGCGACCGTCGCCGACGGTTGAATGCTACGGTGACGTCACAACTCACGCACACGTTAAATACTCTCATAATATTACGACATTAGAGGCATAAGGTCGGATATCCTTGGGTATTTTTAAACTGAACATTTCAAGTGTAAATTTTTAATGTATCACAGATATATGACTGTTTTCAAGTTTATTATGATTTTCGTAATGTTTCAATCAGATGATCGACAAATGAAGTCAAGAGTCTTGGAAAAATATACAAACATATTATATAAAAATGTTTTTTTCCAATAAATACGACCTTATGTCTCTTAAGTCACGCATACGCACATTCTTCAATATCGTATGTAATTATTTTTAAATTATCACATGACACGTAAGGATGGTTCAATAAAAAAAAAAACACAGTATCATACTACTTTAGGAATCGGTTTCATACTACCGTCAGTGGAACATGCAAATGGTAATATTAAATTTTGGTCATTTAAAACTTTTTTACAGTTCTATAGAAGTTTATAGTGTGAATGAAACCAATAGTAATGTTCTATAATGATTTAACTTTTAAATACTGCATTCAACTACGTCATTTACCTAATTTCAGTTAAAAAAAACATAAAGTAAAAAAATATGACTAATAAAACACAGCAAACATATTTTCTTTAGATGTATTTTCACTTTTCGTATGCACTATTCTTTAGGTGGGGTAGCAATCGAAATCATTTCAATCTGGCACATAATTTTAGAATTTATAATTAATCACTTTGTTCAACGCGTTTATTCATCGTTTATATTGCGAATATGTCTGCTTTATATGTTTATAAATGATTATTATGTGTTACGGTTTCGTGTTAGTTATTTTCGGTACATAGTGTAAGGGAACAAGTGCCTTTTCACTACCTCAACATAAACGGGGAGGTTGATTTATTAATCCGAGCATCGTTTTGGCTTCTATCATTTGTTGAGATAATTGTGTCGCTGTTAATGCGGTCGTTGACCCCGTCTTTTGTACGATTTACATTGCGGCCTCGCAAGGCTTGTAGCTAAAGCGATACTCGGTTATTAAATGATTAATTTTCTCTGCTACGTAATGTATATTTTGTCCTTACTTAATCGATGGTAGCCTCGAGGGGTTATTCCAGCTCCTCCGGATGGGTAGGTGAACTCACGGGGTTCTATCTGAGATTATTTCCGAAAGCTTGCTCTAGCAAGAGCAGTGCTTCGCTGAATCTACCACCGCATCGGAATCGCGACCCACTGAGAGGATCCGTCGAGAACCTCAGTGGGTGGTGTCTGTGGGTTATGTAACGTATAGGTAAATAGGTTCCCGTACACCTTGTATTGTTTTTGTCGACGTTTATTTCGAGTAAGTTTATTTTTTTCAAGCATGTAGCTATATTTTTACATTTGTTCGTAGTTACGTTTCTTCGGATTACTATTGTAAGTGCATTATTTACACTGTGATAAAGTGTAATAATTGTAGGTCTGAGCGAAGTCTTGACATGAATGTATTGTAGTGCAACTGCGTTATATACGTAAGCTACGGTCGTACGGTCATTGGACGAGGCGTGGGCGTGAATGCGGGAACATTTTGGAGTTGTCGTCCAATGATTCGACAGTGAAATGAATATATCTTTATTATATTGCCGTGTCTTGTCCTGTGAAAGATATGAGGTTTTTAGGTATCTTGAAGACTGCTATATTTCGGGTTTGTCATAGCTAATGTTGCCTGTCGGCGTTGTGAATTGGGGATCGGTGGAACGTAACGGTTTCCGGAGAATGAACACTTGAGATGTGTTTGTGCTTCGGTATGTCAGTTATGTCGTCGTGTCTCGATGTGCGTGGGTGTAAATAGTTCGAAGTAATGAATTCGATGCGACAGGTGCTTCTTTGCTGATAAACTTACTACGCTTAAATTAATTTCCATGATTTACATTCAAAATAATTGAATGAGCATTTCATTGAATGTAGGGTAAACCGTACAATTTTTGGCAATGTCTTCATGATGTATTCCTATTTATTTATAAAATTTGATCTGAACGAAATCATAGAGATCTAATATTTTTATCTCTTAAAAAATATTTGGTTTTTATTCCTAGTGCATTCTTCAATCTCATTTTTTTTTTTATTTAATCTAACCAATGTAAAGTTTACCCTATTTTACAAGTACGTTTAAAATATATTTTTCAAATAAAAACCTCAGATTTTTTTTATAAATTGCGAGTAAGAAGAAGCACTGTTACTGTATATCGGTCTAAGAGTTGTGTATTATCATTGTTATAATCAATATTTACTTCCAAGATATCACCTACGTGAAATAATGGACTACGTAAGTATGTTAGTGCAATAATAAGGCAAAGCCTACATTAAAGTAAAAATTTTTGTAACTTAGTACAGTAATTCTAAATTATAAAACGTATAATTGTATTGACGGTAAGCGATTGGCTCGTAGTCGGGGCGTGTGAGTGTTTCTCGGCCGATATATCGCACCTTTAGGATAGAAAGTGGCTTAATCAAAAAATCTTGTTTTTTGGTCACCGTCAAAATAGTAATTTTTCAATTTAGATTTTAATACTTTAAGCCTAAAGCTTAAGGTAGACGCTTGATTTAAAAGAGACGGAAAGTGTATTTACTTCTTTTCTAACAAAAATTTAAATTAAATTATTAATTCTAAAAACTTAATTATATAAACTGTTGGAATACATGTTTATAAGTAGTTCAAAGTATAAAATACAATTTTCTTAAAATATTTTTATAAGCTGATGGAATACATATTGATAAGTATTTCAAAGTATAAAATCATTTTCTTAAAATATTTTTATAAACTGATTGAATACATATTTATAAGTATTTCAAAGTATAAAAATAATTTTCTTAAAAATTTTAGTTAAGCCACTTCAATTCTAAAGATGCTATATCTTATTTGTAAGTTTGCTTTATCATTATATTTTGTTAATCACATCGCACATCACATTCGGTTATTCGTTAGCTTATCTTCCTACGGCTTTTATATTATATGTTTATGTTACAAGTAAATATTTAGAGACGTTTACTGTTTTTTATACATAACAGTATCTGTGGTCTGGTGCTAATAGGGTCAAAATGCCAATATTAATAATCATTACTTTATTGTTAAGCATTAGAACAATGAGCCATCAATAATTAAACGTTATGAAAAATCGCCTTATAATACATTGGCCTTTTTTATATAGTAACTTTTTTTAAAGATCGACTAGTGACCTTTTAGCACATGATTATATTTATTAAATACGTTTTGAAATAAATTAGCACTACGATCGCATTTCATACAAAAATACGTACATTTTTTTTTTTTATTGCTTACGTACTTTGGTCCTTTTAGCTTTAGGCCACAGATATGTCTGAAACGAGATTCATTTATACGTTTGTTATTTTCAAGTTAGTTCCCAAATATAACGAGGCTAGTGTTATATCGATTTACAAACAGCGCCTAGTATTAAGTTTATGTACCGGCGGAAAACTGTCCTTTGTCAAGTATTATTTAAAACAAAAGAATCTCTCTCTGTATTAGAGTGTAAGCTTTCTAGTCAAAAAATTGAATTCTTCTTATAAATTTGGTCTCGAATAATATAAATAAAATAATACTGGCGGCTAGTTTAGTATGAGTTTGTGTATCGTCGGATTGTGTTGGTGTTTCGGAAATTAAAATAAATTGCATTTAATAAAACTATGTTGTAGAACTATTCATATTGCTTGATGAAATATACGCAGATTTGTTTAATTGATACTTTTGAGAGACTGTTGAATAAATGTTTACTATAATTGTAACCGTAAATATAATATTAAAAACCTCGTCCAACTTCCGTACCTGACCACAACGGTAAAGTTCTATTCAATGATCTCATTCCATAATTCATTAATATCGTGGAAGTTCGCTATTTTGATTGCCCAGTTTATCAAAAGTATCAAATTATTACGTCGTAAATGATTTAAGTATCATGAAATTTATATTACATTTTTTGATGTTTTCTCATATTATTTTATAAAAACGGTATCATTGTTCTGTGATAAATAAAATTTATACACCAATCGAATGGGTTGCAATGTTGGTAAAAAGATATGTAAGTACATTTATTTCGCAATACATATTATAATACGTACGTATAATTTTCACTCTATGTAATCTTTATTTTTCATATTGATGAAGAATTTTGATCATACACTTTTTTTTAATATTTTTGTGATCGAGTTGCATCAGGAACTTTGTTCAATATTATGTTATTTCTGATCTGACGGACTTGCCTCGGCACTGGTGGCCTTGCCATGTTTAATTTATTCAGTTGGTTTTAATAACTGTAATATGTAAACGTGTAATTTAGTGATGATAAACAGTGCTTAGAAATAAATAATATGAAGAGTACCTATACATTTTTTATTTACTTACTATCCTAGCTTCTTAATAGCCATCTTCAGTTGACAGGTAGGTATTTGTAATTAATTAAAAAGGTATAATGATAAAAGTTTTCCTTTTTTCTGTTTGTCAACCGATTTTTATTATTTGTTGAGCTTTTGTTAATGTTTAAAAATATAGTTTTCTTAGTTATAAATATAAATCGTTTATTTACATATTTTCAAGTGCCCTCTTTGAGGATTGATCATAAAAGCATATAATTTCGAAGTGTACACAAGCACAATATGTACATGTGGGATATTAAAAATGTTGAGTGGAGTGAGCAGGATCTTGGTATTGTCTTGATATTGTTCGATGGATCGACACGCTGCCCACTGTCGGGTAAAGATAGGAATCGGGGAGAATTATTATTATTGTTGTGCAAAAGAAACATCCGTTTTTTTTTGCCTCCGTACTGTCTCGTAGTTGTCTCAAAGGGTTGTTCTGGCTTCACCAGGTGTTTAGGCGATTTCACGGAGCTCAGCATGAGAAACTGTTAATATCTGTCCTAGCAAGAGCAGTGCTTCGCCGAATCTACTACCAAATCGGAGTCTCTACTTACTGAGAAGATTCGGCGAGAAACTCAGTCGAGCCTTTCAGTGAAGAGAAATGTCGCTGGCGCTTGGAATGCCTAAAAGCACTGACAATTTGTTTTTTTGGATGATCGGGAGGATCAGAAATGACGCGTTTAGGGCGACGGCGGCTGTGCGTTGCTCATGAGGTCTACTGTTTTGCTGCATTTTTAACATTTGGGGATCCTCAGTTTTATGGCTTATAAAATTAGCTATGATAATAGAAATTGAAATAAATAAATTGGTCTGTAGGTACGTGATAGAAACAATCAACAATATTTTCGATTAAGTTTATTTTCTATAACATGTAATAAAAAAATCGAGTTAGTACATAGGTACATATATGTAAATATACCTACTTAAATGTACAGATAGGAAGTCCTTAAGATAAAAACGTGTAAATCGGAACGTATATATTTATTTATATATTAGATGAACATTTATTTGGCACAGAACATAATCTTACATTAACAGCAGAAACATGCATTGATGTTCCAAATATCAAAAATAACTGAAAAAAATATATATAATTTTGTACTTTTTTCGATGTCCTGTGTATTTCGTAGGTACTTTATTAAATGATTATATTGATATTATTATTACATTAATACTAATATTTTTTTTTTTTTTATGAATAAACGTACTTTAAAAGGCCAACGAGTAATCGAACCGAAACGATAGATGACCAGACGAGCTCATTAGTCTCTATCTGATCTTTAACGTACCCATCGCTCAAACATCAGTATGGCGTGCAACCTTCACATTTAAGCTCTTTCAAAATACTTTACAAATATTAAATGGAAAAATGCTTAGAAAAAATTACATATAATAAAATCGTTAAGACATTTTGTCTGTGCGTTCGTGCACCATTCTCCGGAATGGCTGAACCAATTTCGATGAGGTATCCAATTTTTTATATTCCTGTATTACAGTGTGAACAATATTACAAAAGTGTACGATATTCGGCTAAGATTTGAAGATGCTAACTATACTGGGGTCACTAAAAGAGGAAACGCGGGTGGCGTTTTGCCCATAAAAATTGGAGATACATTTCACTAATGTTTATATCTACAGCTGCTACGTCTTTACATTGCTATATTATTGTACTTTTTTAATAAAAAAATTATTGCTAGACTTGTGGACGAGCTCACAGCCCACCCGGTGTTAAGTGGTTACTGGAGCCCATAGACATCTAGAACGTAAATGCGCCACACACCTTGAGATATAAGTTCTAAGGTCTCAAGTAAGTTTATACAGTTATAGTCTATTTTAAGTGTCACTCTTTGTGTATTATTGTGACTTTTGTAGCAAAACAGTGTCGAAGAAGTTTTCACTTAAAAACGGTCTAATTTTGATCCAGGAAACAGGAATACGAAACTTAGACTTTTCATTTGCCTATTTTCAATATGTTCTCTTTTGTTATTCATCTATATTAGGATGAGGAGACAAATATATTTTAGATAACTTTCTCAGCACCCGCATTTCCCCTTTATAACCGCGTTGTACCATATAAAGAGTGACATTGTGATCTGTATTTTACATTGTCATTCGGCTAAATACATGATCTAAAGAAAAACACGCTTGGACAGCCAACGATGTCGTAAGGAAACAAATTGTCATAAAAAAAGAAAAATATATATCGCTAAATTACGCATGAAACCGCGGTCATAAGCTCGCTGTACCTTATACACAATTAATTTGATTTGTTTTCGTTCTAATACTCAAATCAAATGATTTAATAAATAATAAAATAAATATTATACTTAATTAATGGTTTAAATATTGATTTGACATAAATTTCTTTGTTAGAAAAAATAAAGAATATAATCACTCGATCAACATACAGGGTGTAACAGAAGAGTTCACGACGCAGAACCGGTAATAATAATATAAACGAAAAACGCTATTCATTTGTATAGCTGACTTACAATATTTTTAGCTATTTTATTAATAGTGAAACAATCCCCCTCTCATTCTACTAATAGTTATTACACATGGAAAATTTTATTGATTTGCTAAGTGACGCATGCTTCACTTTTAGCACATATCGCATTCCACATTTCATTAATCGGCAATATACTCGTCATAGCTTGTATAGTCCTTATGTGTGATTCCCACCAGCCCGTGTATTACTGTTGTTATATAATATAACCAAGGCCTAGACTGAATCTCAAGGCAACGTTAAGGAAATGATGATGTTTACGCGCTCTAGCAACAAATAAATCCGGTCATCATTCTCGCCGAACCCGTCGCTTGTGACCAAGGGCTAAATTAATCCACAGACAAAACCCACTGAGTTTCTCGCCGGATCTTCTCAGTGGGTCGCGTTTTCGATCCGGTGGTAGATAATGCAAAGCACGGCTCTTGCTAGGGTTAGTGTTAGCAACGTCGTCAGATGAGTCCCGCGAGCTCACCTACTTGATAGGGCTACGCTGAAATAGCTTCTCAAGGACTTCAGCTTAGATAGAAAAAAAAAACAATAAATAAAATCTCAAACGTATATAAAACATTCACTAAATCGCTCAACTTTCCCCGCGCGCGTGCTAGACCATTGACCCTGCGTCTCAGCTGATTCATAACTAAAATTACGTCACGATAATAAATATAAATGTACATAAATGGTTTTTCAATCATTATTTATTAACGTCAAGAATAAAAACAATACAATTCAATGTAATAATAACTTTTAACACTAAAACCAATGACCGTTTACGAGAGCGCTTCTCTTACACCCTGAGTGAATCATATTATACACTTTGGTAGCATTTCCTTAAGTTAGTAAATAACTAATATACACATACATATTTTATATAATTAACCAGTATAATACCATATAATAACCATACGGAATATATGAAAATTGGAACCAAAGTTCATTTTGTTTTTGTAATCTCAACAATGAGTACATTAAAAAAGTCACTTAATCTGTATTAAATATTTAATATCAAAATGTTTAATTTAATATAATGAGTTATACCTGATTCATTAGGCACCGGTAAAGTATATACAATTCACTTCTATTTAAGGCATTATTACTTTGTTATTCTTAAGATTATTTTTAAAATAAACTGGCTGAAAATAAAAGAAAAAAACACGGAATGTATTGTTATTTTAATATTGTATGTCAGGAATGACGAGTTATGCACGCAAGTGTAATTCGTGTCAAGTGTAATTCGATTTGTTGATACATCAACAGTCTTAATACTCTTGCAAATAAATCACGGCAGTTATATCGTGTTCAAAGTTCAAATTCAAATTTACCAATTTTGTGTCTTTAAAAATACCCGCCCAATGTAAGGTGGACAATGTATGTCCAAAATGGTAACGAGATGTCTGTGATATAAACCTGTCAAAAATTCTAATAAGCGAGTGGCCATTATATCATAGTATATTACAGATACAAAAAGAATTTATAGACTTCATTCATCACTGAACAACGTGTTTAATTATAATCTAATAACGATTATAAATAACGCGATTTTTTTGCGATTACAAATAAGATATCTTAGTTACATAAGTATATATTTGAAATTGACGAAACGCCTAAACTATTAGTTTAATAAATGCAGATAAAATTCGTTAAGAGTTAATTATAAGTAATGGCTTAGCTTTCATTCGGATGGGATGGCTTTAGGCTTGAACACGTATACGGAGTCGTCGAGCCAGTAGTAGGCCTGAGCGAAGTCTCCCTCGCAGAGGTACGGCGTCCGCGTCCAGGAGACCAGCTCGTAGCCGGCTTCCTTCTCCATGAACGACACGAAGGCCGTCACCTGGTCTTCGAACTCGCAGCAGTCGTAGATCGGAAGACGCTCCTCAGGCTTATGGTCTGAGGTCGCTGAAAATTGATTTTATTCTTAATGGAACAGGTGATAGGACCTCTTGTGAATCCGCGCGGGTAGGTACCACCACCCTGCCTATTTCTGCGGTGAAGCAGTAATACGTTTCGGTTTGAAGGGTGGGGCAGCCGTTGTAACTATACTGAGACCTTAGAACTTGTATCTCAAGATGGGTGGCGCATTTACGTTGTAGATGTCTATGAGCTCCAGTTACCGCTTAACAACCAGGTGGGCTGTGAGCTCGTCCACACATCTAAGCAATTAAAAAAAAAGATGACTATATAATTACACAGCAGATGTATTAATTACCGCTCTAGCAATATCTAGCCTCATATAATGTAATGTTCAATACGTTCATATCATTTATTCTTGGCTAGCAAATCCCGGTTATGGATTCTGAAGAATGTATGAAAAGCTCATTGGTCTGAATGATTCGAGCGTCACTTATCGTAGATTTATGGGACTAAAAACGGACACTTTTCTTAATGTGTCAAGTTCAATATAAACTTCAACTCATGACACACAAACATACAATTTTCAAGCTTTAATTATCTTAGTGTGGTATAATTTTTGTATTTAATGGAATCTGGGAATGTAAATTTCCCGACTTCGAGACGTCTGATTAACTAGATAATTTGCATACGGATTAAAGATCGATGACAATACATAATAGTAATCTTATAAATTCGATCTAATATCCTGATAGGATCAAATTAATTGTTAGATCGGATTGCTATTTATACGTGTGTTTATATGAATAAATAATTTGGTTCATAATTTTTTCTCCATAAAATAACAAATTTTATTTAAAAACTATAGAATACCTATATGTAAAACCATCGAAAAATATTATACAAAGGTGAATTGTTATTTTGGGATATTAGTGAATTTACAATTATACTGATTGTAAATTATTTATGTAAATATAATTTTGATAGTTAAAATGAGAATTTTTTCAATCTCTACATATTAAGGGGAAGATTTAACCCGAATCCCTAGATACCCCATTTTTTTTCGGACAAGGGTGCGTGCCTTATGGGTAGCAGGTGTCCGCGCTTAGGGGGCGCTCGAGCACTGGATACACCTAGTTATTAATATTAGAAAAAATAGAATGGTCTTCATACCCTCAACGTAAGGCTTGTAAGGTAAGACGAGCGCCACGAGTAAAACGCCTCCAGGAGCGATCGCGGCTCGAGCTTGTTTCAACATCGTCTTCGGTTTGGAGCATCGATCCAACAAGTTCATCATGCACACACAGTCGAACTGCTGGTCGCGCCACCATTCATCCACGTCTAATAACCTGGAAATAAAAAAAATTACCATTTTATATGTAAAACTTTACTGGTGGTAGGAACTCTTGTGAGTCGCACGGATAGATATGCTTAGGTAGGATGCCTATTTCTGCCGTGATGCAGTAATGCGTTTCGGTTTGAAGGGTGGGGCAATCATTGTAACTATACTGAGACCTTAGTACTCATATCTTAAAGTGGGTGGCGGCATTTACGTGGATCTTCTCAGTGGTTCGCGTTTCCGATCTGGTGGTAGATTCTGCGAAGCACTGCTCTTGCTAGGGCCAGTGTTAGCAAAACTCCGGTTTGAGTCCCGTGAGCTCACCTACACATCAAGGAGAAGCTGAAATAGCCTCTCAAGGCTATCAGCATAGATAGGATTTTTTTAAATGAAAAATACGTATACCTACCTATACGTATAGGTTTACTTTAATAAATCAATAAATAAATAAAAATAAACCCGATATGAAACCATAAAGTACTATTATGTGTACAACTCGCGCCAGCCAAGAAGTTACTACAATCGTTCTATTTATTTGCGTTTGTCTCACTGAGCATGACTACAACTTGGACTTCCTGGAAGCCGACGACATCCAATCTCTATTGTGTTTGATTAGTAAAAAATAATCACAAGGCATCCCGTGAGAGCGGTAGGCAACGGTTTGGGGCTGCCCTTGGCATTGCTGAAGTCCACGGGCGACGGTAACCACTCACCATTAGGTGGGCCGTATGCTCGTTTACCTACAAAGGCAATAAAAAAAAGAGATCCGCTAAGCTTAAGGTCCCATAAACGCGAGTTTTAGTCGTCAGATAACTAGGTACGTACGTGTATCCCTTCTTAGCCAGTGTCTTCCTCATGCTCCATGATATCTCAGTAGCATATTTATCCGAGTATATGTGAGCGAATCTTCGGCTTACTTCGCCATCGCCTGCCCCGAGATCCACAAGCCGTCCCGCTTGCTTTCGAGTCCATTTAAGCAAATTCCGTGCTTGTGCCTCTGACAGAACAAACATTGAACCACGACCCAACCACCTAGAATTCAAAAATAAAGTATTCCTTATTTACAACACTGACCTTCGAGAATTCATTTTCAGGGTCTGACCTATTTGGTTGAAGATAGAGAAACAGTAAAATGAGCAACAGAACCCTAAGTTCATGTAAGATCCTATGGCTTCATGTGACGCCATGAAAGCGGCGAAATTTAGTTCGGTCGTAGCGAAAATTGTGATATGAATCAAATATTCTGAGCAGACATAATAGCTCAAAACAATAGACTGTCGTTCATCGCCCGGAGTGAACATGCGATGTTTTATTACCAGCCTTGTTACAATGCACCTATTAATTTCGTTTTCCAAGTTAATTATCAAAATAATAAAGTTCGTTCATCGTTTGAACCATTAATTTAAAACCAGGAAGGTTTCTCGAAAGCGATTTGTGAGTCGTTCGCGGTGGATCTAAGCTACAATAGGGCAATTATCCCCTACCATCGTTCCAGTGGTGGTGGACGTTCGAAGGTAGATCGCGTCGGAGCTGCAATTACTGAGGATAAAGTATAAAGCGCGCTGCGGGCTAAGGCGCTCGGCGTCTAGTGCGCGGGCAAATTGTGTGCCCGCGGCCCAGCGCTGCGCCCGCGACGTCTTCATCGAGCCGCGGGCCAACTACCAAAGTGGATAATAACTAGTAAACCCGGTTCTCATTAACCGAGAGTGCACGTTGTGGTGCTCGGTACGAATTCGTCTTCGTTTCATGATTGGCGCCAACCTTCATAGTTATTATTACCCGTTGTATCATATATCACACGAAGCGTTGTTCACGGCCTTTGGGGTTTGCGTTGCAATTGCGAATACGCCAACGTATGCTTTTAAATTATTTGTAGGTTTTTTTTTATTGCTTAGATGGGTAGACGGGCTCACAGCTCACCTGGTGTTAAGTGGTTACTGGAGCCCATAGACATCTACGACGTAAATGCGCCACCCACCTTGAGATATAAGTTCTAAGGTCTCAGTATAATTACAACGGCTACCCCACCCTTCAAACCGAAACGCATTACTGCGTCACGGCAGAAATAGACGGGGTGGTGGTACCTACCCATGCTGACTCACAAGAGGTCCTACCACCAGTAATTACGCAAATTAAAATTTTGCGGGTTTGATTTTTATTACACGATGTTATTCCTTCGCCGTGGAAGTCAATCGTGAACACTTGTTAAGTACGTATTTCATTAGAAAAATTGGAACCCGCCTGCGGGATTCGAACACCGTTGCATCGCTCGATACGAATGCACCCGACGTCTTATCCTTTAGGCCACGACGACTATGAAGTCTTAGAGTATGAACTCTAAGAACACTTGAAGTTTGTTTTTGTAAATGTACGTGTGCGTTAAAGTTACAAAGGGCCGTTCGTCAGTTGCAGCAGCTCGTTTGCGGAGTATGGCGGTGCGGATTGATTGCTTTATTGTCCCATCGTTGGCCGGCTCCGGCGACGTGTAATACATGATACATGAAGCGTCCTTTCGTCAGAAACTAATGAGCGCCAACACCACGACGTAATTGTCACATATAGCGTCTTAAAGTAGTGACATTTTCGAGAAAATCCATGCCACATTCTGCAGAGTCAACACGAAAAAATATGGTGACACCAAAATATGATACCCTTAAATACTGAGATGCCGAAAGGCGAATGTTGGATTGATTTATTATGAACGAGTCAGTATTATTGCGATGATTGTGTACAATGTCCATAATATCTTTAAAATATTTCATGTTCAAGTGATATTAGGATTAAATTATAGCTTGAGATCTTTGAACGAAAAGCGTTTGTTTGTTTAGCATGGAGTGTCCAGTCCAGCGTCGTTTGTTCATACTAATTTTCTTGTATCGTTTCGCGCTTGATTAGGTTTTCGCACGAGTTGATTATTGTTTATGGGCATCCGTAGTGCCAAGAGCACAGACAAACAGCTACTTTCGTTGTCAATAATTAAACAATGTTAACAGCTCATATTTCAGTAGTAATTTCAGAAACTACGATCTCAAAATGGTCCTTTATATCTTACTATCTTCATTTATAGTTAGAAAACAAACAGAACTCAAATACATTTTATATTGAGAGTCGTCAGAACGATGCGGCGAGGGGCGATGTGTAAATCGAGCTCAGGGCCGCGAAGTATCTATTTCAATAGAATGCGACGGACTGCAACAAGGAATCCGATGCGGTTATCGAAGACGGAGGTGAGAGATGTGTCGCCGGGCGAGGGCCTCGTATCGCGATTGCATCGGAGAGCAAACAAGCGGGCGGGGTGTCGCGGTGCCCGGGGACGCTCAAATCATATTACCCCAGCCTCACACCCGCGCAACACCGCACACGTCATTTGAGTGTGCGTCGCTATGGCGACGGCCCGGGCCTTGCATGATATTAGTACGTGTGCGACTCATCTCCGGCCGTTTAAACTTAACGCGCCGCCGCATCGCGCGGGAAATTAAAACCGGCTACGGACCGGAAGGCGCAATCGACCCTGTCGCTTTTCCGTGCCGCGCTCCTCCTTCTATCTGCATCGATTCCACCCCACTGGATAACTTTCCAATTGCTTTACAACTTTGCTCGAATGTGTTATTAGAAGTACTTCGTATTTCAATTTTACGACGAATTCGACGTTCTCATTTGTGCGATTAACAAAAATAGAAGCTGCCTTCACTTTAGGTATTTATCAGTAAATAATATGTTATTCAATATATTTGAGGGTTATACGTATGATTTTGTAAAATTACGATATCATTAAATGAGTTGCATAATTGGATTTGTTGAATCTATTCGGTTTGAAAAGAAATCCCTATCTATGGCATACAAATTGAGGTTGAAAAAAAAACAGTAATGTTTCACTCATATAAATAACTAGGTAACATAAACACACAATAGTGTCGCATTACATAGCACGTAACGTTGATGTAGAAAAGGGACTCCACCCCTCGTATGTAGATACATACACATTTGCTTTAGTCAAAGACATTGTCGCTTTCAGGCACCTCATTAGAGCGCGTCCCATGTGAGCCTACCACCCCTCCCCCCGACCCCCCGCCGCCGCCTCACTCCACACAAACACAGCAGCACTCCCAGCCGAGAGCAATTCTTTCTCGGAGCTCGCAAACTTTCTTGGATAATTACACTTAGATAAGAACCCGTCCGTTCTTATATATGTTTTACGGTGGACGATTTTTAAGAATGAAAATGCTGCGGGCTTTATTTATTTAGGGTCAGACGTCTCATACTAAAGGGATTTGAGCGACTGAACTAGTCCATCTCAAATTAATATAATTATATATACGAACAAACTAAAACTGCGAAAGTGTTTTTTGGAACGAAATTCCTTATGAGACGATGCGGAGGGGTACTCTAACCGGGAAAAAACGTCCGTAACGTAAGATTTTTATTAATAATGCACACAGTCTACGACTTAACTTTGTAATAAAGTACAAAAAATAACATATTTTTTTATGTTTTTCTTAAGATAGCAACGGACTGGCCCGATTTAAGCCGATGATAATTTATCAGCTAGACAGTTTTCTGTCTCGAATACATCACATTTTTTTTCTCATCAGACAAATCCAAATTTAACGCTGTAATCAATAAGAATGATTGAAATATTTAAATCAGTGAATCACTAATTAACACATATCCATGTACGTACCTACGTACAGCAATGTATCGCGAGGGTATTGTAATTTGCGTATAAAATTGTAAGTCGATTGCGGTCCCGCAGGTTCGTTTACAATAAACTTCGAATAATTCACGAAGGGCACGTGACAGTGACTGCTGGAAATATACACATGATAATTCCGAAGTTTCCGTCCGACATTAGGGAGCAATGAAAATCGACTTGTATAGCGCACAATCGAACGTAGCACAGACTATACGCGCGGTGTCATAACCCCGAACAGCACTCAAACTGCAATAAACTATAAAAAGTCGATAGTAAAACGTATAAACAATGAGAGCACTGCTAAAACGTTTTAGTGTTAAGAGTGGGCCCATAAACCGTTGACACGCACCCGTAAAATATTAACGATACGTACAAGAAAAATGACGACTATCAATGTACGTACCGATTTTCGGTCGCGAGGACGCGCTACAAATAATGGCGGTACAGAATTTATACGCGGACCCGAATTGGCCCGATTGAATATTTTACCAGGACACGAATGCGTCCGACGATATTTTTCTATTTCGCCGCCCATTTTTACAATCAATTGGTTAGTTTTCCCTTTAACGTTATTCGTATTACGTTTTCTGTTTCCGTCGCTTACATGTGCTTCGTTTCTTTTAGTATTTAATACGCTCAAACAAAGCGTGGGAATGTATTCTCGCAAACATGTTGCCTTTAGGTTCAAATGTCCCAAGTGAACAAAGACTGTGGTCGTAAGAGTCCGTGGTGACGCTTTTCTGCCGCCTTATGCCGCGAAATCATTATGCATTCATTCGTTTGATGTACTACAGGATTCAGGTTTTTCTATGCGATTGAGATTTCCAACTCATGAAAAGAAAGATTGTCTTCGGAATTCATGCTGCGATTTCGATTGGATCCGGAAATCGTTTGAATCTGGTTGGTCACGATTTCTAGCTCTTTTTTAATAGAATTGAGTTTATTAAATGAATATCGCTTTTTTCAAATAGTCTCCCAACCGACTAGATATATTGCCTATTATGGATAATAATTTCAAAAAGTCTCAAAATAAAGCTCATCAATTCAGTTTGGCTCGTGACAAGAATTTCTAATTAATTCACATTTATTTAGGTACCTATACCTATAAGTTTTGAATTATTTCTTTTTTTAATATTCGATATTTTATTATTTATATTGCATACATAAGCACTATCACTAAAAATCTGTTTCAGGAATACAATAAACAATTTAATACACATAAAAGCGTGGGTTAGGTCTCAGTTTGAGTTTAAAAGTAACTTCTTGGACTCGAATGGTTTATAGCTTATTGAGTAGCTCTGACGAAACGCGCCTTCGACGATAAAACATGCTCAGAGTG